CAGAAATAAATTGGTGTATCAAGAGAGTCCTGATGTTGGAATGTCCCTAAGTCAAGTCTTATTTTCCCCGAGACTTCAATGCTAATGTATTTCATTGGTTCTCCTTTTTGTCAAAAATTAGAAATAAATCCTCAAAAAATGTTTTAAAAATGTGGTTCGGATCCCTCAACTTCAAGAAGTAGAAAACAACAGCGCAGAACAAAGACAAATAGAATCCGATCATTTGGAATAAAAAGGAGATCAATAAGAAAAGAAAAAAGGTCTTGCTAGAATATACATCAACAATAGAAAAACTCTGAAAAAATAAGCACAAAAAGCTTGCTTTTAATTATGAATTGGAGTGAATTCATCATGAAATAGTGCTTCAATTTTTGTGAATATAAATACTGTAGCTTGATTTCTTCAATGTATATCAAAATTTAAAAAATAGAATGTTTCAATTTTTTGGGAAAATTTCAGAAAAGTATCTTTAAATCAAGCCAATTTTCCAAATGTCAGGCCCAATTTTTTTGGTTTTCAAGTGTCCCTAAGTTGAATTATGTGTATGTCTGGGTGTCCACATATCGGGACCTCACTGCACACGCAGAAACTAAACTCGAAATGTACAGCCCTGGCCCCATGCTTTGCTTCTACGGAAATTGTATCAGGAAGAACATATACTGTACAACACAATACAATCGAGCATTTCAAATCTGATGTTTATTTTAGAAAATTGTGTACATCATTGTAGCAGGAATAAGATGGAGGTGCGATCCAACAACAGCAACAAAAAAGCCCACACATATCGATCAAACAACAACTCACAATACACAGTCGCTTGCCGTTTTTTCCTCCATACGAGCAACTAAGCCGGAGAAAACCGCGTGATGCTTCGCAACGTTTCCAATAACGGCGTACAGATGAACAAAAAATGTTGTACACTTAGTGACACTGACCCACAAATAAGAAACTTCACTTGAACAGCAGCCCCTCTATCTACACGGGTGGGATGTGTTGAACGTGATTCACAGTATGGTCCCAAACATTAAGCGATTCGAATGCGAACCACATGAAGGGCACACTTCGTCGAAGGTCCGTTCATCCGTGGGACTACGAGAGTCGCTCCAACATCACCAACACCACCAAGGATTGCAGTGCGCGGAACGACTGACTTGGTGAGTCGCCGCTGCCGCTAGCGGCGCTGCGCTGTTTTTTTTCCCTCCCACCCTGCGAGCTGAGAAAGGCACTCTTCTCACCGAAGTCGTCAAACCATGGTACAGTACTTGTTCAGAGCATTTCACTGATGATGGTCATCATTGAAAGTATGAAACGCAGATTTACAAATAGACCAGTATTCGCCATTCAGCTAATCCTGACATTAAAAAAAAATTATTTTTTAAATCCTGGACAGGCAGATTTTTTTTTCAAGCTTTAAATTGTATCTAGACAGTATAAACAAAATCAAAACAATTTAACTGCAGTAATGTTGAAAAGGTAATTGATCATTTTTGAACTTATGAAGCTATGGCATTGTACAATTATCTGCATTATAATTAGGTTGAGAATGTGTGTAGAACTGGAATACTGTACATCCATATGCCTTGATTAGTGGACATCCAAAATTTGAAAGAAACAAAATCTATAATTGCCAACATCTGAATAGATCTTGAAGTAGAATACATTACTGCATATGCCCAACAGATAAGAATTTTATAAAATGAGAACAACATTAAGTATGTGATGGTCAAAATTTTCTAGGTAGTCAAATTGTTGAAAAGCTAACTTCATGAATTAGGACACGCTCACTGCTTTTTATTTCTTTGATCATTTATACTGTACATACATTACAAATGACACCGCAAGTGACATGAACAGCTTAAGTGCATTTTGGAAACTTTCCCTAGTTTACGCAAGAGGCACAAACGATATGTGATTGCTCAAAATGGCTCCATATTTATTAAGATAGACATTAAAAAGCTTCGGAGAGTAGGGAACATCCATGGCTTTTTTTTCAGTCATGCATCCTACATTGCCTACATTGCCCACATACTACATTGCCAAGTGAGAGTACTACATTATACTACATTGCCAAGTGAGAAGACGGTCTAAGAGGGTGGCTGCTGCTGGGAAAACCTCGGGTGGGACTGACGGACAGAAAACGAGCACCTGCGGGGCGACGGAAGCGGCAATAACAGCGCCAGCAGCGGAACGCCACCAGCACCACGTGGTTCCCGTGCGGGCGGATATGGAAAAGAGCATTCAAAAAAGTAAGGGAATATCCTGAAATGACCCGCAACACCGACAAGAACGACCTTCATCACATGCACGTGCATCGTCATTACTTCAGATGCTCGTTCGTTATGACCGAAATACGGTACGGTACATCATAACTTGTGTTGCGCACACGAATGTTTTGGGACGTGCTGCTGTCACCATCTGTTGTAACGATCGGGAAACAGAGGACGATTTCGGCCAATACACAAGAAATTCCACACATTTTATCAGCTCTTCATATGCCAAGGCTTATGTTGTACAGGTAGTACCTTGCATTTTGACCTGCTGCAATTGAACCGTCCCGCAATTCAATGGTCAAATTCGCAGGGAGGTTAACTTGCAACTTGACCCTTCCCACACAATTTGACCTGCTGTTTTGTCCATTTTTTGCGTTTTTTACTTATATCTTTAGATTTCATGGAGTCTCTCGCATTTTGACCCTAGTTCGGCAACGGATTAGGGTCAAATTACAAGGTATCACCTGTATATACTTGTACTGTACTGTATACTGTATGCAGTAAAACCCAGATGTGATTACTGAATAGTAGGCCCTGTATACGGACAAATAATTTTTTTTGCATGTAGCATACATTTTCTTCATACCAAAAATCATGTCAAATCATATTATAGGTAATGTAAGACACAAAATATCAAAAATAAAAAATTTTCTCTTTCTTTCCACCCAAATAATAAGAACGCTTATTCCTCTCACTGGAAACCTTCTGCCTAACTCAAATTGTTTTATTAATTCTTTGAAGTTGAAGCTCGACTGGAAGAGATTCAACTATCCCAACTTATAATTGGTGCAGTGTCGTAAATTACATCACTTCCATTGTTGGGACACGCATAATTTGTCCTTCTCTAAGCGTAGTAGGAATGAAAATGTTCGTTTTTCTTCAGCTACTGGAAAGCGTAATTGTTTTCTACGACCCTTACTAGGCCTTCATTCGTCCCAGGTCGCAGCACATTTCTTGATGGCTATGAAATGATGTATCCTTTCAGTTCAGATTCCATCATCGTCCATTACCCCGTCTGATGTAAGTTGACACTTGCACCGGCAAATTTTTTGGGAGAATATCATGACATGCATGTAAATAATATGATGAAAAGCATACATTGGAGCAGAAATAGTTCACTTGCTATACGTCAGACGACTCAGACCTGAAATACAACCCGAGTCGTAGCTGACGGGAACTACTAGTGACATCTGTACAAAAACATATAGACAAAAATATCGATGCTGGATACCGCTCTTTAGATGCCGTTATCTACATTCGTTCGAGGAAGTCATATCATCGCAACGAAATGAAGCCCAAGAATGCATAAGACGAAGGGCCATTGAGAGCCCTTCTCAAGTCAATGAGCATTTGTTTGTGAAGCACATTTACGTCTATTCTGAATTTCAACCGAAATGCGCAGCGTGTTTCCGCTCATTCGTGACTTGGCTCCACTCATCGTCATTTGCTCCCCCGATAACGACCGAGAAGAGACAAGAATAAACGCTCCTTTGGGTTAAGGTCAAGTCGTAACAAGCTTCGAACAATAATCTTCGTATCAGCACCTCCGAAACGGCTATTCAGAGCAGACTCGAATTCCAAACAGAGAAACCATTCAATTCTGAATAACTTCATATGTACGATGAGCCGAAAGGAAAAGTTTGGATTTTATCAACATGATCTACTCATTAAAAACAAAACAGAAAAAGTCCAGTAAACATTTCAGTTGGTTTTCCTCTCTCGTTTTCGGAATTCTTTCAGAGGATTCCGCCAATTATTCCCGCGAGACGCGCCGACGCAGACAAGTCAACACCGGAGGAATCTTCTTTTCAAACGTAGTTCCGCACACAAAACTCGCCAATTTTTCGCGCCTCTCTTTTTTTGCGTTGCTTCATATTTTATTCTCCGGTCTGAAACCGATTCAAAACAGGGATTATATTAAGTAAACGACGGGCTCTGGGCTCTTTGAGCTAATGATTATGTCGGAAGGCGCGAGAAAAGATTCGGATGATGCCAGATAAAACCCTGGCGCGGGGATGAGAAAAACGACTCGATTGAAAAAGGAAAATGCTACTGTTATCTCAGTGATGCGTGCGACATTCCCCAGATTTTCTGAAGAAGATAAAATGCACATTGTCCGATGAACCTCGAGATGAGCAACGTGTGCCTTCCTTTATTGTTTTCGTGTGGAACAATCTTACTGGCGGGAGTTTGTAATGCAGATTCGTCTGAATCTCAAGTTAATATCTTCAGTGAATCTCAATTTTCATGCCTCAATTTTCCACGTCTTCTCACGCGTGAATAAAAAAAATTTTTCCCGAAAATTAGACGGAGCTTAGATTATTTGCACCCACTAAATTTTGCTTTTTTTCTTGCGTGGATCTCAACAACCTAGAGAATAAACAAATACAATTGCATCTTTTATTGCATTTTTTGGAGGTCTTATTATTTTGCGGCATACAGAATGCTGACACATATGCGAATTCGAGACCAAGGAAATGCAATTAAAATTGTAGTCAATGAGAAAACAATGAGCTTCAGGGTGACAATTTGAATCCTTCGTCAGAAATTTAAGACCCTTGATGCTTATTATTGCGTTGAATTGAATGAAACACTCATAATTATGCATCTTAGCCGTTGAAACATCTAATAGTGTTTGATCTGTAAGCGTCGAAATTCATTACAGTAATTTTGAATGTGAGCCAAGCGCAATCCAAATTACTTTTCCGGTACAGATGCGATTTTCAATCAAATAGTTATATTCCTCCAGATTTAAATATAAAAAGTGTTTTTTTTTCTGAATCACCGGAAAAGTGCTGCGTTTTTTTTTCTGCAGTCGTGACAACTTTCGGCGCATGTAGAGAGGACCAAAATTGGTACTTTTCAAATTGCTTATTGCTGGAATTCGAGCGAAATAACGATGGATCAGAACCAATCGCCGACTTTCGGAAAGCATGAAAACCCCTGGTGGTCGGGTTACCTGAAGCCAATTGCATCTGGAGTCTCATGGACATCAAATGGAACGTACGAACTCATCCATCAGCAATTTATTCCTTGCATTGACAGTCAATTGCGAGATTCGACAGCGTTGCAAATCGGAGATGTGCATTTGAGAGTGCATGAAACACAATATCGCAGTTGGCACCAGCCGATTCTCTCTCCTGGCTGTTCTGAAAAACGAGATTCCGGTGAGTTCAATTCTTTTTCAATCTCCGCCACATCAGGGCAAGAAATTTCGTATTTATGTTCTTCGAACACCTCAATTGCTACTTATTCTTCGCTTCAGACTTTCAGAAGAATTGGTTGCATTTTTAAGCTTTGCAATTCCGACAATCAGAAAATAGAAATAATTGTACACGACTTTTAAATATCAAAACTTTTCACTGGTGCACGAAGTCTCGAAGCAAAGATTGACGCCAGATAGGGACACCTTTGGGTAATCTTGAACAAAACAGCTTCTTTTCCCAACCCACATAACAGGGGAATACCCTCGAATTTATGTAAACATATGATTTGAAGAGTGCCATTGAGAATTGCCAGGATTGAGCACAAAGAATCACCCTATTTTTGATCACGGTGTTGCTTTTCAACTTCCTGCTTTTGATTTATGAGATTTTCAAAACCAAAAATTTTTTCAATGGCTTCTTGAAGTTGTGTTTTTTTTTTAGTTTTATAGCGCCAACAACCTCAAGTGGGATGAAAAAAAATCTGTATAATAGTGCCAAGATCCAAGTGTGAGGGCTGCTTCCAAGAATATCTGAATAAAACCTGCTTCTATTAATTTTTTACATGTTGAAAGAATGCTTGAGTGAATAATGGCAGACCAGCAGTTTAAAAAAGCGCTCATTTCGAAAATGTTATGTTATTGCAGGTTGAAGTAAAAAAAACCCAGTTGGCAAAGACTGGCCATGCATTTTGTTTTCAATAAATGAATCGTGAATTACAGGATGAGAATGACGCTGGAAGTGAATCAACAAGTTTGTGTTATACTGTATTGTAATTACATTTCTTAAGCACTTGATGTGTCTTGTTCGCCGTAGTGAAGTTGGGGGTTCAAATGAAAACTGAAATACTGTGCTTATTATCAATATAAAAATTAGCCAATGAAGTGCTCGCTCAAAAATTTTTTTACATGAATAAATACGCTAATACGAGTAGGTCAATTTTAATTTTGTATTACATTCGCGCTCACGTCAAAGAATAAGTAAATTTTGCTGCTGAAACTAGCCAAACTTCGAACTTTTATCGTCATTTTCTTCGATTTGTGTAAAATCCCGAGGAGGCATAAATCCTCAATCTTCGACCAAGAAGAAGACTCTATTTTGTGAATGAGCATTTTAAATTAAATGATGTTTTTAACGATAAAGTTAGTTCACAAATTGATAAGATTCGCATCGCACATGGATGCTTATAGACGTTTACTCAGGAAGGAACCCTTGTTTATTTCGTTACCGCGTCTGCTCTGGCATTTTTATTTCTTGTTCGAAAAATTTTTGAACACCGGAACATAACCCGAAGATATGCAAATTCTTTCTGCTCCCTCCGCCGAGCACTTCGACGACTCATCGGTTGTTTTTTTTTTTTTTTCGTTGACGAGCTTTCGAGGAAAACATTTAAAAACCGTATTAGTGACTTTCGAGTACGAACGGAGGATCGTGAGCATTTTAAATTTCATTTCTTATTTTAGTTTGACAGGCCCTTTATGACAGGAAGAAGCTCATGAATCATGGGACTTCAAAAAGGGATTCCTCTTCTCAAAACTGTCAGTCGTCAAAAAAAAAAAAAAAAAAACTCTGGAAGTTGGTCCTGGGGTGCCTAAAAATTGAAAACAACAATGCGCTTGACGAACCCCCGCTTGAAATTAAAATGCTAGTTTACCTTGAATTCATTTCACAAATCTCAGGAGAAGACTGACTTCATCACTGTCTTCCTTTTCGGCTGACAAAAATGATTATGGCGACATTTACCTACTTATTATCCAAATCATAATCAATACCCAAATCCTGACTACTTCCGATCATACATTTATGGGTACCGCATTTGAAGAATTATACTTGCTGATGTACAGTGCGCACAAATTTAATAATCTACATAGCAGCTCAAAATTTTCTAGAAGTTCTCGAATTTATTTAGTCTCTCATGAATTATTTTAGTCCACGTGGTTGTAGACGCGGTTTTTTCCCCCAACCAACATGGCATTTTTGGAATGCGTTTTCATGTTTGTCTGGTAAAGATACCGTGGGAAGGCTTAATAAAACGAAAGGCTTTCATGACATTGTTTGTCAGAAAGAAGGCAATAACCGATGTAAAAGCTGATGAGATGTTGAAACAGGTGTACATGTATATCCATCTGCTTCGTCCCGACATTTTGGGATATACATTTTTGAATAACTTCGAAAACAATTTCTTGAAAGGAAGCCATTCCCACTCATTTAGTTCAGTTGATACTGGAGGACAGGCCTTTTCCTAATGTGGTAAATTGCTGATGCGAAATACAGTATACTGCAGAAATAAAATCCCGTTACAGTATAACGAATTGTTTTTGGAGTCCTGGCCAAAACTCAATGGATACAAGGTTGAGTAAATTTTGTTGAAAAAAAAACATTTACCTTCCAGAGTCTCAGTACGTGAATTGTTTTTTTTTTGGGAATTTTCCTTGGTTTACCTTTTTTTTTTTACTGGAGAAACTTTTCTGCAAAGAGACGTGTGCATATGTCATTCCCCTCGAAAAATTTGGCGATTTGTTCAAGTACTGTATGTTGATTTATCAATTTTTCCTGGGGAAAAAAACGCAGGTTTGAAGGAGTTCATCCTTCAGTTCAGAAATTTTGTTATGAAATTTCAATAAGACTGTCAATAGAATGAATTTTTTTTTTCTAACCAAAATTTTTGGGCACTCGTACGTACGTACACGGCATAAACGGAAAAATACCCCAATATTTCAGAAAAGGCCCAAGATTTGTGCTGATTTTTATTTATCAAATAAATTGTGGAACGAGTAACTTCTGACGCAAAAGCCGAAAAAATACAGTATAGCAATATTCAGTCGGAAACATCCTGTTTTATTCATAAGCAAAATATTCCTAAATGGGAAAATATTTCTGCCAAATCATATTATTTTCATAATCATGCATATGCCGTCATTTTCTCGAAAACATTTTCAATATGTTCTGGTCTATATTCTTTTTTTTTCTCAAAAGTTTGTCCTGATCGAAGCTGCGGCCTATATTTACGTGCGGCCTACATAAGCGTGTCTTCTCGCCATCGGTTGAGTCTTCCTCATATTTCCAACTCCTGTTTGTAATTTCGAAAAAAAAAATTACCTTTAAGATCGAGCGTATTTTTTTGAAACCAACATTGGTTCTCCTAAGAAAAACACATTCTCTTCACGGTTGAAACGACCTCCTGCATCGTCTCCCACTTTTTTCGCGCTATTTTTTGTTGCTTTAAATTTTTTTCGTGCGTTTTTCGAAGCAGTTCTCTGGAAAAGAAAAATAATTTATTTCCCTCTCTCACCCGGAGAAGAATAACTAGTAGAATAAATCCGAGGCAAGGAGAAACTTGAAACTTTTAGACTTGCAGCTGCGAAAACGAAGCAAACGAACCATTGCAACTTTTCTCGCGTGCTTACAAGGAACTTACTTGTCAAGCGCATATGGACCATCAATCAAAGCACCAGCGAGCAGGAGACGACAGTCCTTTTTCTCCCTGCTTTTGCAGCCACAAAAGCGAACGCATCATACTTTCAACTCGGAATAGACTCACATTTAGAAAAAAATAAATGAATATTATTTTTAAAGACTTTTTATCGTGAATGAAACATTGAGAAAACTTGAAAACGAAGAGGAGAAGGCTCTCAGTCTATATCTATAATGCTATAGTACAGTAATCTACTTTTGATTTTCTTTGAAACTATATTTAATAAAAATTTGCTGAGAATAATGGATTATTTGTGAGAATGAGTTCCCTGGAGAATACCGCCGGGGGTTGTCTGATTTCCACGCACCAGTAAAAATTGTTGATCAGTCCCTTTGTATTCTATTGTCCAGCTTTTTTCAAGCATATTTCTCGCTGACAAATTCAAGAAATTTCACGGCTTCCTTGATCCATAAATGACGGCATTACAGAATTGAAGTAGCAAGTACTTGCATGACGAATATAATTCGGACGATGAATGGTAAAAAATAATATAATAGGTCTTCTTACTATAAATGTATCAATTGATGATGGGTATTTGTGCCCAGTTATTAAAGCAGTTTAAATAGACAAATTCGTTGATGATTACGTAGCAAAAATCGAATTAAGTTACCTAGTTTGTTGGTGAGAAGTGTTACTTTTGTGTTCAATAATAGGGCGTTTCTGAATGAAGCTAACACTATGCCGATTTTTAAAGTATTTTTCTTGGAAATTAACAATAACGTCATCTTCGTTCATTGTATTTTCAAAAATATTATGATTTTCGGCTAATTCACAGAAAAAATGATTTGATTCATTTATAAGAAACGTGGTCGCCTTGGGACTTCAACACACAAAACATCTTCAACTCGAAGATATCGCATGGGTGGAAGGATTGTTTTTTTGGTGATGCTCTGGTTTTCGTATCATTTTCTTTAAGGGTATTAAAATTACTTAAGTAAACAGAATGGAAGGTGGGAAATGATTCAGAAAATCGGTTGATATGATCAAACCATCTCAAATGATTTATCCCGTAATAAAACATTGTCCCCATATATAAACCATGTTGAGGGGAAAGTAGAACTACAGTATATCCTTGAAAATTAGGCACCCTCGGAAGCTTCAAGCATCCCATATTTTTAGTCGTGAGCTCAAACGTTAATACTGTACTGCTTTCAGTCACACAAAATGACAAAGTTTTTTCAAGCTGCACGAAAATTGAGGATTTTTTCGTTAAGAAAATGAACCTTGAAAATAAGTACGGTGCCTTCTATATATATATTTTTTTGTGGGTATATGGCATATTATTGAATTTCTCCAGGAGTCGTCGTTTATAATAAGCCAAGTCTGGGGAGCTGAAATTAGTACAAGCTGCAGCAATTCCGGGTGAACCGCAAAGTGTCTCATTACTCGACGACGATACCTCATCTTCCTGCTCCCTGTCCTGTCTAGCTGCGAGTCACTTGTTTCTGAAGAACTAGGCTCATCTCCTGTTTCAACTGAATACTGAATCATCACGAAACTTGCAATTGTTCCAACGTATACATTTTTTTAGAATACATCAATAAGAAGCAACAGAATGTTGTTTTATTTTATTTTTTTGTCGCCCGAAAAAAAAATCAAGATTTCGGCTGAAAATGTAGGACGCACTTGCTATCCGTCCGATTCCTTTAGGATCAGCTTATTTCAAGAATAAATGTTGATTATAGTTAGTGTTTCTTTGAGTCAAGAATCGGAGTAAGCATTATCTGGGTGAAATGGTGTAAAAAGTTTATCAAAAAGATTGACTTAACCAAATAGTTGGTGGAATTGACCCACGATTCTCAGACAAAATCAAACGGAGTAGAGTGGACCCATATTACATATGAATTTTAATTAATTAATTCTACTGCTGAGGCGTCCACGTGTTGGAACCTCTGCATTTCAAATCAAAATGTCCCAGAGAATTCGAACAGATAATTTAAATGTTTCATGTTGGGATACATGGAAAAAGACCTCAAAAAGATTTGATATTTTAAACACAATTGTTTCAACTGAATACTGAATCATCACGAAACTTGCAATTGTTCCAACGTATACATTTTTTTAGAATACATCAATAAGAAGCAACAGAATGTTGTTTTATTTTATTTTTTTGTCGCCCGAAAAAAAATCAAGATTTCGGCTGAAAATGTGGGACGCACTTGCTATCCGTCCGATTCCTTCAGGATCAGCTTATTTCAAGCATAAATCTTGATTATAATTAGTGTTCTTTTGAGTTAAGAATCGGAGTAAGCATTATCTGGGTGAAATGGTGTAAAACGTTTATCAAAAAGATTGACTTGACCAAATTAATAGTTGGTGGAATTGAATCACGATTCTAAGGCAAAATCAAACGCAGGAGATTGGGCACATTAAATATGAATTTAAATTATTTAATTCTACTGCTGAGACGTCCACGTGTTGGAACCTCTGCATTTCAAATCAAAATGTCCCAGAGAATTCGAACAGATAATTTAAATGTTTCATGTTGGGATACATGGAAAAAGACCTCAAAAAGATTTGATATTTTAAACACAAAATAACTGTGTAGAAGAAAATTCCGCAGAAAATCTGGAATTTTTAGACATGAATAGCTGACAGAAATCCAGAAAATAGTCATACAGTCAGTACCTACATACTTTGCTTGTGCTGGAAAAGAAATTACTGCAATTTGAATGCGCGAAGTAATTTTTTACTCAGGCATATTATGATCAGGTAACGTGGAAAATTCATGAACAATTCATGCAAAATACTTGAACGTGTCCATGTGGAATCACAAACTGCTTCCGTCAATCCATCCACGTCATCAAAAGCGTGTCGCACATTCTCCAACATTTCTTTCGCACAGAAATTCATAGCAAAAATAATGCAGGAAAAGAAGAAGCAAAGCCATCAGGATTTCAGGGGTGATTCTTGTTCTGATAGACATTCACCTGAAAAAAAAAGGAATTCTTCAACAAAAACAAAAAGAAAGGAATTCACAGATTCTTCATACTCGAGATTAGTCTAGAATCTGCACTTTGAGCGTTAATATCGCTAGATTCCCTCATAATTTGAAAGAATCAGCGGGGAATTGTAATTTCTTGCAGCAAACAAGAAAAACTCTGAAAACAACATCTCAGGAGGAAATATCAACTTTCGCGCAAGAATATCGGTATTTTCTCATGGCTATAGTTTAGTGAGACATGCAAAGATCTCTATCAAATCTCCTTCACGAGCACCAATGTCTTAAGCAGGATCAAATCAGATCAGATCAGGGAAGTGTTTTCTTGGCTGAAAATATTCCTCTTTATCTTGACAGTATTTTGAGTTATTATTCCTTCATGAAATTATTTTTCCCGAGCACCTTCCTTGCCTTTTTGAGATGAAAAAAATAATGCGAGAAGAAATAAAATAATGGTAAACATTGATACATGCACAGCTGCTGTTAAACCTCACAACTTTTGGCACGCGGTTCAACGTTCCTGAGTACAGCAGCTGGTTCGCACATTGCAGTTGTCCACCGTTGCCAGGCAAAGAAGTCAAATTTGAAATTTCCTCTTTTCATGATGTGGTTCAGCTTCAAACGTGTGGAGTAATAAGACGAAAATAGGAAATTTTATGTATTCATGGTCTTGAGTTTTCTTTTACATTTATGGTCTACAACGGATGGATAGAAGGCACCATAAATGAATTGAAAAGTGTTTCTGAAGTATTTTGTCAAAAAGATCAACAAAAGATAAAATAATAGTAATGCATTCATGGCACTTCAAAAATGCGCCTATGGTTTACAGTTAAACACGGCGTCGCACGGAAAGGAAGCAAAGGTAAAATTTATGAGCAAAGTATATCCTTAATCATTCATTGTTTAGGATTATAAACAAAGTATTATTTTACCTTGTATTTAACTTGATGGTTTAAAGTTCGTTGCTTTTTCCAGCACAAACATTTCAATAAAATACGATTGAAGAAAAAATTGACTTTCTGATCATGGGTCGGAAAACGGATTTCGGGCCCCGTTCTGCATATCCTTGAATAACTTGCAAAATAGTCAACTATGGAAAACTTCAAAATCGCTTCAAGTGATTTATCTGGCTTGGAAAATGATTTTTATATTGTTCCCGATATTTTTTCCAATTTCTTCCACGTTCACATCCTCGTGATAGATGGAAAAAATTCAGGGGATACGACGGAATTCAGCTTTTCAGTCGCAGTTCCACACACAGTTAGTCTTAGTGGTTGTAAATTTCTCCGCAACTTTTTCTGTTAAATTTGGCTTTCCTGAATCTAGTTAATTGATGACGGAGAGAAAGTTACAGAAAAACTTTATTTTTCAGCAGGGTCCATAGGAAAATCCAACTAGAATGCTGAATATAGCTGTCAACATGTGTTGTTTCTCTTTTTGCCCCTCTTCTTAAAATAATTTGAAAAAACTCATCGATGAAATTACACGACAAACTTGACGCGTCAATTTCTATACAATATTCGTTCATCTACAGACTATCGGAGAACCTTTTTTTCCCCCTGACTTTTAGCCCAAAAACGTATTTCCGTATAATTCACCCTTCCTTTCATATGGCTGAAAATGAAGTTTTTCATGTAAAAATATTTAACAAGATAATCATATTCTTAAATAAGTCACAGGGGATTTTCACCTGTAAATAATCTCTTCACTGCGGCTTTCTTTAGTTCCATGTTCTTTTCTTTCAAAAATGTGTAACCTTATTAAGCCACATGTACCCCACTTTCTGCCATTGCTTTGCATTTTAAGAAGGTGCGCGTGATGCTGGGGAACATATGGTATGCTGTATTGAAAAACATTGTATTTTCATGGGTTCACTTCGGCGATCATCTGAGTGACATCTGCAGCCCACTTAAAGTGGGACCGCGAAGTCAAAGCTCAAAGGCTTTCCTTTTATTTTCTGGCAGCACTGTCAAAGGCTTTTCCCCGGCAGAGAGCTTGTAAAACTGGCGTCGTTTGTGGTTGAGAGATTGTCATTTTTCTTGGCAATATAAAGAAGAACCAAAACGAAAGAGATGCGACACCTTGCATTTGCATCACACTTTTGAAGGCAAACACGTGTTCTAACTCGTTCCCACTTGATTCTTTATTTCATGGCTGGTTACATTTTGAAATATTTTAAAACCCCTGTCGACACGTGCTTGTATTGTTGGAAGGATGCCTCCCGCGAACATTTTTCGAATCTGTCTTATGAATTGTGATGCGACAAAGGGCCAACTGCGAGGAACAAGACCTGACTTGTCGACGTGCATCACTTATTACGACGAGGACTGATTTTTCCAGAGCCACATCATTTGTATGGGTTCTTTATACTTCTCGAGTCTAATTCCAGCAGTTCAAAAAACATAAAACATATAACGCAACACATATAACTAGCTTTTATTTATGACCGAATCTAATATTGAATATACAAAATATTACAGTGTTAGAATTTTGAATATAGGGAAAATTTATCAATCTAACAACTTCGGGCGGGATTTTGTGTTTCAATAGAGAGTGACTAAAATCAGTGGCAAATTTAAACTGTGACGGATTTAAACGTAAACCTTTCTTCAATGTATTGTGGTGCTATATCAGACTTTTGCCGGAGATGTGAATGGCTGACACCAATAAATGTTACAATTATACTTCGATTATTTTCTGTCAAATTTTGTGAAACAGTTTTTCTGATGTATGAACAAAAATATAGCAACACCTGAAGTATAAGCGATGCTTATTGCATTGGCAAGCTGGAAACACAATAATTGTTGGCTTCAATTGATTGATGATGATATTTTGTTCGAGTCAATAGGAAAATATGCTCTTTGAAATATAGCTTGATATTTGATGATTTACCGGCTATTTTGAAATCTCGTTCTTTTGGAATGTCCAGAATCTTCTTTGCTTAGTAATTGAAAGTTAAAAAGTCTTTACTGCTCTAAATCTTGTTTAATCTTGATGACATTTTATGTTTAAGACTTATAATGGTGTCTGCATCTTTTTTAAGGTTAGCAGGACATTTTGAAGTTGAACCAATGCTCCAAGGAGTCTTCCAACACATTTATTTACATCTAATCATAATGCACAAACATTTTGTATAGTGTCTTGAAAAAGAAAGAACCTGATGCCCATTTTACATCCTGGCCGAAATCAGCTTGTGAATATTTTTACAGTGGCAATTATGCCATGGCCATTGCAACAGTCTCTCGTCCAATATATCTATTCATGTGGTATAGCAAAATTTATTTTTAGATCACACACCTCATGAAGTCATCTATTTCTGACTAATATTAGTATGCCGTATACAGTACACGAATATCCAAAATAAACTGTATGCAACACCCAAATATTCAAGTTGCAGTTTTTAGGAAATTTAGTTTCTGGTATTATCGGAGCGCACCAAAGATTTTCTTTAAGAAAACGTTCCAATATAAAAAGTGCATGTTCAAGAAAAATGTCCTTCTGTCACCAAAATCATAATGGATGTCAAAGTGGACGAGGGCCAAGTTGTAAAAAAAAAAATTTTTAAGGACTGACTACTTATGGAGTACAGGTTTGTTGAGTAAATGAGTCACAAGATTGCGGGCTGAACCCATGATGGGGGAGGGGCAATGTACAGTAGTCGACGCCCCTGTGTTATACCCGGCGTTGGCTTTGCAAACCCCGAACCCATGTGCGAACCAGTCAGACCAAGATCCGATTTCTATCCTACCCGCAAAGTCGACGAGCAGCCGACGTGTCGTCGTCGACACCATGCGTGCCTCGGGGGTCTCGGTGATCCCATCTCTCTGCCAAAGCTCAATTTTCTTGGCACTCGACTCACGACAGTCCAACTGCGCGCGAGTATCAAGAAGACGCGGGAGAAAAATCGGGAATTCAGCTAAAAGTGAAATCAGCGCGGTTTTCTGACTTATGTGAAAAATAAAAACCCCCGAAGTGTGTTTCTTACCTGATGGAAAGCCAGCGAAACTTCAGCTTGCAAGAAACAGTGTATACTGTATAAACAGCATACTGGAGTATAAAATTCAATATTTACCCGAATTCAGGCCGCGACCAAGTGTTCATATGCCCTCACATCGAAAATGGACTGCCAATTTCAATGTCAGTTTCTTGGTCCATGAGAAAAAAACTGAGTTGGCGGCAAAAATCTGATTCAAAAATTGTTGGCGACCTAAACACCAAAAACCAGACGTGTTCCCAATAAAAAATTTTAATATTGGAGAAAAAAATCATCCGGTAATTGTACTGAAGTAAACCCCTCGTAAGTACTGTTTTATGAAAAACTGAAATCATTCTAAATTGCGGGTTCTCTTTCCAAGAGAACCCTTAACTTAGCATGATATTAGATGTTCGGCATCATCTCTAACATGAATTCTGAATAGGTGAGACGACTGGAGATTTAGTAGCATTTTCTTTTTTTTTAAGTGTGTCCTATACGCATTAAAATACGAATAGGTTGAAGATTGATCTCAATTTAAAAAAAAATATCTGAGCAGTTTAATTTGCTATTTTAGATCTTTAACGGCGATCCGTCTTTTATTGGAAAAAGTTACAAGACAACGGGTAGGAAAAATTATTTTTCATCGTCATTTTTCATAAAATTGAATAGAGGCTTCTCTTGTTAGCGTAATAATATTTCAGAGAAGTGATCACGGCTTATATATTTCGGGGTTGGGCATATATTTAAAGCAGCACAAAATCGAAGTATGCCATTAGTTGAATGGATATCTTTTTTCTTAGAAAAAAGATGGCGAAAGCTATGCGATCGAAACGAATTACAAGATTTGTAGCGGTCGGCTTTGTTGCTTTGCAATATTTCGTATTGGATAATGAATCGATTACTTCACGTAATTTGGACAAAATGTAAACAAAGAAGAGCTTCTTCAAAATTCCATTGAGCACAACTTCCTTTTCAAGACAGATGCCGGGATCAATTCACAGTCCAGAGTAGCACGAGAAATGTAACATGATTTTAAACTAGATTCACCCGAAAATGATGAATTATTCGCAAAATTACACGGCACACGGAATTCTGTTACGCTGTAATTTATTTTTAAATAGTCGACTTCAAATCTTTGAATTGATTTCTGCCGTTTGAACGGAAAGCGAATAACATTTCTGAGGTCATAATATCCTCGTGAGTCAGAGTAATATGGGTCTGCTCCAAAAAGCAGTACCGAACTAAAAATATACACGAGTATATAAGTCATGAATGGAAAACGTACAGCAGAGTCTTGTTATCGAAGTTAGGTGCACTATGACGAATCGTTTTACGGTCTCGTTTTACTGAAATATGCGCTACAATGACAGCAGAGCTTATCTCATCCGTGTAGGTCTTGGTCGTTTTATCCCCCATGTATACCCAATGATTTTTCAAAGCACTTGTTTTTGATGCAATTGAACGCGAACTTTCTTTGAAATATGAGTGTTTTTCCGTGGACGCAAATAACTTTTTGCGCGAGAGAAATTAAGAAACGCTTCCACTAGGACGCGAAAGAATTTTCTGACGTATTGCTTGCGTGTGCAATTTTTTAAGAATATGTTATGAATCTCTGAAACTTGTTTAGATTAAATACGTGAGAATATAAATTCGCCGTGATTCGCAATAGTGAAGTGTACTTTTTTCAAAATATTGCTCGAAAATGCTGCCGTTAGAAAGTCCTCTGAAGTCGTTCGTGGATTTTCCCACATGCGCCTTCTCCGACTTTTACTCCACGTACGATGCAGGTAAATATCTGACTTGAGTTCATTATTTGAACCCAATCTTTTTTTAAACTCCAAAATAAATTCGGAAAAACTCGAGTGAGTCAGGAAACGCGTTTTCAGGATATTTCTGGCCCTCTCAATTAACTCACGTCACGATGATAATTGAGTTATCGGGAAACTTCTTTGGAGTGGTTTCTTCTTCGTTTTTAAAACGTCAGCTGCGCCTTTGATAACTTTCTTATCTTCTGCCATTGATTGGATTTACAGTATAGCTACACTGTTTATCGAGAAAAACAAAAACGTTTTTAACGGAATTCAATGCAGCTTTTGAATTCTGAAATTTTTAAAAATGCCAGAAAATTGTGTCTTCCACTAGAAAATGAGAGTACAGTATTTTAATTCTGCGTAATTTTCCAGATTATGAGAAGTTCTTGCAATCTCTGTGTCGACAGGTTATGAAACGGATCAGGGCCTGGTGTCGTCGCCTTCGTCGGAATCCGAATGCGACAGTGTCTCGACCGGAAGCTGCCTGATACAAACGCAACACCTGTATGATACCAAGTGTTCTACCATTGCGTCTTCGCCTCCCACAGAATCACATTTTCAATCAGATTTCGGACCAGAAATCCGCTATGCACTCTTGGAAGGCATGCAATTCGGCTCAACCATCGACTGCCGGCAAAGGGTAAGAGAATGTTTTTTTAAATCTCCAATCCTGTGTATATATATTTACATTTTTAAACATTTCTTCCATTGATTGTGAGAGAGAGAGAGAGTCAATTCTTTTTTATTTTACTCCACAAGATAAATTCCTTTTTTGTTGAAAAAATGAAATTCTGCGAATTTTGTTCGGAACACAAAGCGTCTACGTTAGTTTTTGCTGAGGTTTCTATGAATTTTTTTGTAATTTCTTTATTTAAAAATCCTACTGTATTAAAAAAAACAATATGCGACATCCTTTAAAAATTTTCATTCCGCATATTTTATATCATTTGAAAAATCTTGCGCTGCAGATGTATGTACTGTGCTCTGAATGTCCAAGTATAGGCTGCAAAACAATCTCACCCCAAAAAAGAATGCAAATTTCACTCAGAAACAAATTTAAGAACAAAATTTTAGTGGAAAAAAAATCGGCGCTGATTAACTTTCAATCCAGAGTAATACGTAGCAAAGCCCTTTTGGGACTTTTAAATTATGACGTTTTTCCTTTCAATCATTTCTTTGTATATTTTTTATCGTGAAATTTTTCGATTTTTTGTCTCATGCCGTATGCCCAAACCTTTTTTCGCGACATTTTCCGTGAATAAAAAAAATACTGTGCAGCATTAATGGACCTTTCACCTCATCAACTCGAGCTGGCACCAATGTCTGCTTTAGAAAATGGAACTGACGTCAGATAATCTAAACAAGATAAGGTATTGTTCGTTGTTGCAAGAAACATTCCTTTTTTTCAAACTTATGCAAGGGTATTTATTAATTAATGCTCAGAGCATCGTTTTCCTGATCCTTATTATGTTTTTGGGTCCCTCATTTTGAACATACATTTATTCAATGCGTTCTGTAGTTTTTTTTTAATTTTTCGTGAAAGTAATTTTTAAGGAATCTGTAATGAATTACGCCACTCCAGCTACTGTATTTCATCGCGATTTTATTCAGTCTGTGGAATTTTTTTGGTCTTCACGGGACCAATCGGACTTTTTTTTGTGTGCTTGAAAGTGCGCCAGTGATGTGCGTTTCGGATAATGGACTTCCTCTTGGAGTGAATCATGTCTATTAACCAAGACACCGCTGTAAGTGTCATTGTTTCTTATAATCATCCCCGAATTTATCTCATCAGGTCGTTCCAGAGCAGCAAGATACTCTCTGGTCTACGTCTTCATCATCACCCTGTTGTTTCCAAGAAACGCACCCAACAAGCGCGAGGAACGAAGTTCTATTTTCCATCAAATCAGAACCCCCCTCGTGTACCACCACCATCGTCAACGACAGATTTCGGGTAGAAAATGGCACGACTGATGGGTTTGGCGAAAGTCACGAATTCACTGGCCACGAATCGAATCTGCAATACGCCTCCGCTGCTGGGAACGACATTAAGGCACCCTTCGAAGATGCGGATTGCGTCGCGTTTTTGAGCGTCAGCAATGACGAAGACTACTGGTCTCGACGTCGGAATTCTCAGAAGGAGGCAGAACGAGTCTTGGGGCCAGTGGACGACGAGCATTTGCTGGATGTCGATCCCGCCGGGTTGTCCCTGTCACCGTCGCCATCCCTGTCGGACGCCTTTCTGCAAGATGCTGAGGATTCGCAAAGTTCTCTTTTCGAGGCAACCGACTTGGAGAAAATTTGCAGGTCAGACGGAGTAAAGATGTGTTTTTAATCGGGTTCTTCATTCCCTCTGATGAGAGAACCTCTGATCGGATTTCGCGATGCTCTTTGTTTTCACATAGGTGTCGCCTGTATATTACCACATTCACGTCTTGATTTGGGGGGGGGGGGGGGAGGGAGGGGTGTAAGCTCGAAAAGCAACTTTCCCGCAAGTTGCTTTATTGAAAGCTAAAGTTTAAGCGGGTAATTTCGAACAGTACTTTTTTAATTCTCAGGTGAAACTTTCAGGAGAAATGAATGGACAAAGTTGAATTTTGGCTCAATTAAATCAAAGCACTGATCTGGTTGCCAATTTACCATATTAATTTTTTAGCGTTCAAACTATTATAGCAAGTTAAATAGCTCGAAGAATCCAATTGGGATTTTGTGTAAACCACGTTAGTACCAATTACCGAACTAAAATGATTACTTCATGAATCAGCAATTGAAAATAAAGTGAAGTACAGCATATACTGTATGTACAATTGCACATTAATGGTTGTGCTCATGTTCGCTAATGAGTTCCTTGATTTTTTTTCTAGAATTTGTAAATAATAAATATACCATTTCCCAATTTCTAGGCAAAGTAGTTCAGAATTTCATAATAACCTTTTTTACTTTGACTATTTTAGCCTCCTTTTGAGAATTCCGAGGAAAATTGTATTTACTCAGTCAATGGGGAGAAGCTTTTGTGAAGATGAATTATATTGAGTAGTCGTGGGGCATAACCTTCATCGATAAATTATTTTTGGCCTCACCTTTTTTTTAAATACAGTACTGTAGTTTTCATCATGTGGAAAAAATTTAGTTAAGACATGGTAGATCATGTCCAGTATGTGCTAGTCTCTTTTAGATTGATATCAAATTTTACTGGAATTTTTTCATCATTCTTCAATTTATCTACGGTAGATATACAAGCAACCAAGAAGTTGCATGCAGACCCATTTCGGATCCACTACACAGCACAATTTGAGAACTTTTTATTTCTTATGTTAAATTAGGTTAGTTTAGTAAACTAGTCACTTGTTTTCTTTAATTGTTTACATTTAAATCAACTACATCGAGGAGAGTGCATAAAAAACTAAACGAACTTCGCAAAAATTGTTTTTTTTTTTTAATGTAAAACGATGTCCTCAAAAATACCTCCGCACAATTCCAATAATAAACCTTCGAACAAGATGTGAAAAATCTAGATAATTCAGGAGCTCAAGCAGCTCATGGATATGGCTCTAAAAACCATTGGGAGACACTGACGGGCACCGAGTATGGTTAATTAGACAGAATTGATTACAATTTAGTTACGATCGCCTATTTTTACGCTGGTTCAATCTTTTTTGTTGCCTTAGTTGAGTTCAATTCGATGAGAGCACTTTATGTAGCACCTGTCCGGAATCACAGAAAGTGAGCTTACGCGTTGAATTCTAAATAATATTTTCTTTGATGCTATTTCCAGCATGGAAAAGTAAATCTTTAAAATTCCGCTTACTTGACCGCAGGTGGTGCAAGGGCTGGCATGTGTTTGGCTAAAAATACAGAAATACAATGTTGCATACCGAGATACCAAACAAGGAGACCTCCGCCCCAGATTATATCATTAGCAGAAAAAGTAAAAAAAAAAACTATGCGTTTCTTTTGAAAGAAACTAAGGCTCTAGCGCGAGTCTTGCCAATTTCTATCGAAGTCCCAAGTCGTTATAAATAAGTATCTTTTATACTAAATAAAAAATAGTACTTCAACAGAGAGTATAGACCCCTTGGTGCGAACTGGACACGTGACTATAAAGTTAGGGTCATTTACATTTTTGAGGCATTCATTTCTTGGGGTCTCTGATTGGGGGTCACAGTCCAAATGCAACCGAACGATCAATGGATGCATGCACGCATTATTCAAAAGTTAGATTGAGGAATTTGGTCGCAAATACGCTATAGCGATTAATTGAGGTGCATTCTTGGCGAATCGCAATAAAATGCGACTCGCTGGGAATAATCACGCAAAAATGCTTTAAAAAAATTATTGACTATTGCTTAAAGGTAAATTCAAAAGCCAGAAACGAAGTCGGGCTCATTACGATGTTCAAATTCAGCAGCACATGTCGCCCCGTTCTATCAACAAGAAGTTTCACGAAGTCAAGATGGAAATTCTAGCTTTCTCTACGAAAAGTTCTGCACTATGAAATGATTGTACGTGAGCTTTGTATCACCCAACTCGTATTTGGATCTCTCACCTCTTTGTGATATGATTATTTTCTTGAGAAACACTTCAAAATTCCCCCGGACCTTTCAAACTGGGGAATTGATTTTCCTCTTTTGGGACCCGTGCTGGGAGTGGTGAATGATTAACATTCACATAATAATTAGCTGTCGAAACTGAGCTAGTAATATTGAAAACATTTACAGTATATTCGCTAAGTTAAAAAAAAAACTAAAGCTCTTTTCAAGTTCCACCATTAAAAACACCTTGAATTCGATTGCGAGGTAATATTCTGCTCGATGTAAATGCGAAAATTTGCATGTATCAATAATTCCGAATATATTTTGTGCATCAGCAAATCTTCGAAGAAGGCGTATGTATCATTAAACAAATTAGATAGATTTGAAAAAAAAACGTTAAAATTATGCATGGATACGAAGACTCATTTTTGTTGTTATATGCGATGAAAGGGCTTTGCTTTGGAAGTTCATGTTAAAATACCTCTTTTTAAAAATGACTTAATAAAAATAAAAATCTTAATAAAAATTACACTGTATTTGTCATAAACCAAAAGATTTCAACATTAAAATATTTTGTACCATGAGTAAGTCTCGTCAAGTTAATCAAAAGTCTACTCAGAATCTGCAACAAAAAAAAAAGAAGCGAGTACTTCGCAGAATTCCTCGTCATTCGAGAATCGGCGACTGTTGACGCTCACATCCAGCAGGATTCAAAATTTAGACTAATAAAAGACCCATCATAAATCCGGGATCAATTACGGCACTTGATTCCCTTTTAATTTTTTTTTTTTTTTTTTGCAGATGGTCCGGATGTTGGGAAAGGTTCTCAACACAATCTGAACTCGTGAACCACATTGAATCGCGACACGTTGAAGGAAAAGCTCGTCGAGCACTGCTCAAGTACACGGAAACCCTTCTGACAGGTGCTGCAGACTTTGGCAAGTTGCGAGCGATGTTCAACGAGTAGGTGTACGCCCACGTAAGGCCTCTCTTTGGGTTGTTCACGGTACATTAATGTTTAATTTTTTGCTGGCCAAATTTCGATGAACCCCAAAACTATGGGGACTCATAATTGAACACCGAAGCACGAAAAAAGTCAGGCAAATTTCCGGTTTATGCAAACCTTCCTTGCACTTATTGGGATTCCGATGTTTCCTATCATGAGTGATTGCAAAAACACCTTTAATGTACTTCCATAAGAGATGAAAATGCTTCTTAAATTTATAAACATAAATGAAATGCATAATAATAAATCTCCTTCTTTTTAGTTCAAGGTTATCTAAGGAGTTTTCGGAAACACGAATTTTTTATAAGAAAATTAAAATAATGCAAAAAGTATTTCGATGGTGGCTGAATATTCCGCTTTTCTGACCCAGTTCAACTAGGCTTTGGTGGATAAAAAGTACACGTGCAGTTTGTTGAGAAAATTTTTATTTTATTTTTCATTTATTGGTTTTAGCGTATTTTTTGTCCCATTTTGGGCTTTTTCTGCTTCAAAAAATTTTGCGAGCTGAATTGGAACCCAATAAAGATAAATCCAGTTCCTATAACAAATCAATTTTATCTTTTTTATAGAAAGTCGATGAGGGATCTTTTTCAACATTTCAGATTACCATGGAATTTTTATCCAGTACAAAAAATGGAAAACGTTAGCCTAGCTGACAGTGCGTTATTCAAAGTCGTGCATATAATTAGGACAAACTTTGTTCAAACGTATTATATTCTTGCGAAATACCTAATTTTGGAATTATTTTATTAATGCTCCAACTTTAGACATGGCGCCACTTCAGTTGAAAGTATTCAGCCGACAAATTTCAAACCGATAAAAATGTGAAGGAATCTTTTTTAAATGCTACGCATCAAACTTTTCAGGAGTTATCAGATGAGCTGAAAAATCGGGTTGCTTTTCTTCTGGCACACACTGCCACTGGACAGTAATGTTATCAGAAAATGGATGCTATCAAGCGTTAATCGTCACGTGCCAATATCTTTTCGAATAAAAGGGAATTTATCACGAGGACCTCCAAAGTCGAGTGTTTTCTTCTTTCTGAAAGAAAAAAAAAATCAAAGAATAATAACATCGGCATTCCTCACTGCTTGGCAGTAAACGTGCCGAAAGCCATAGGTCAGTCAGTATTGACCGCCAGCAAAAGGAGAAGCATCGTCGTCAGCATATCCCACGCGGACAAGTCTTATTGCCTGAATACAGCTAAGATGCATTCAAAATCACGAAATCTCGATGTTTTTCTCCTGTTAGCACACACACACACACACACACACACAAACAAATTTCCTGGGCTCTCGAATTCAAGAGTTGCGTAGGTGGAGTCGGGATCAATAATTTTCTCCTTTTTTTTCCCACCTCTGAAATGTCGTCCGTCTATCGCGAGAAAGAAATGACTGAATGGAAATCGTCGATGGTTTTCCTTTACGTGATCGGCTTTTCTTTCTACAGTTTCAAGGATGCAGGCAGGCGTTTTCCAGGCTGGAAAATCTCAAGATACACATGAGATCGCACACAGGAGAAAGGCCGTACCAGTGTCAACACCAGGATTGTCCAAAGGCATTTTCAAACTCCTCCGACCGAGCGAAGCATCAACGGACTCACGTCGACACTGTAAGTGTCCCATAAATATTGGCAACAACAACAAAATTACCTGGAATTAAGTATGACACATATGATCTTGTCAAGACACCCGTGATTACGTTGCACAGCGTAATTATTCCTCTCACGCTCATGAAATTCCTGAATGAATCATTCCTGGATGAATCTAGAAACCACGTCTCTATTTATATATAGCACTGTGACGTTCATAGTATTCTAAGTCTCCATACCTGACGTAAATAATCTGAGCCCTGATGAAATGCAGCCAGAATTTTTCTTGAATAGATTTCATTTTGGAAAATTACGAGCCACTCCAGCGGTTTTTTTTTTTTTTTCTCCTAGAGAAAAATCGCACAAGGTGCTGTGCTGTTGAAATGTTTACACTGACCCGGAAATCATTTCGTTATACATGAGAAAAAAATTCATAAAATCAGGAAGTATTAGGAAACCACTCGACCAAGAATATATACTTATGTCATTTAAGGCTATATTCCTTCCCCTATGGAAGAAAAATTACGAATGATGACAATCTTTCGATCAATAATACAATAACGTATTACCTTCCATGTTCTCTCGAATTCTGCTCCCTAATAAAACATTTTCATATTCGAAAACAAACATCATTTTCAAGATTTGGGTTGGCATAGGTTTGTCGTGTACGGTATAGCTTAAGAAATCCACAAGATGGCATACCTCTATTGATGGAAATTCTGAATTCTTCGCGAATATTATTTCTACAGATAAATGGCGTTCAGCATTAAAACCGCTCGAAATTTCAAATTGATAACCGTGATCTTGAGACTTGAATGAGGATCATATTTGAAACATCGATTGCACTTAATTGATTCGTCTGGAAAATGTACACGTTTTTCATGTGTTTTTTCATCTTTTATTTTCGGAAAATCGCAATTCTCAAGAGTATTTACCCAAGCTATTCAAATTTAAATAGAATGCACATTTAATTTGTAAATTCAACCAGACTTCATTTGGGAAGATCTTCGAGAACAAACTAATGTTGCCGGATATGGAGAATATTGTTAGATGATTAGGCTTATACATTTACAGACGTTTTTGGAGAATCTAAACAAAATCATTGCACGGAATATATTCTGGAAGAAAAATATAATCGTGGAAAAAGAGTGGCAGAGAGTTCACCCGAAATGTAAAAATACTGTAATTCGCAGATCATTTCCTTGAGCCCCCAGCAAATTCCATGCGTATTTGGAATGAAAGATTCATACATTTCGGAAGTCTAAATTTAACCTTGGCTTGTCACAGTGATATACTGTACTGCACTTAAGAAAGATTATTTGTTTCCTATCCGGGACAGTCTTAAATAATAATACGGATACTGTACATGGTAATTAACGAGTCCATCAAAACACGGAAGTCAGTCTTCTTTTCAATTTGGTTGATATTGATTTGCGCATTGCTGGATGAATAATGTTTTTAAAAAAAGTTTTCGCCTTTTTCGGTGTTGACATTTTCTTTCGATTTCTTATTTTGCAGAGGCCTTACGCTTGCACTTTCGAAGACTGCGGAAAACGATACACGGATCCGTCTTCACTGAGAAAACACATGAAGAATCATCCGAGTCGAGCGGATCAGCCTTCTACTCCATCCGAATTGGAAGAAATGGATTCATCTTGGTGACAATTTTTGGAAATGAAACGGATGAAACACAAGAAGAAAAAAGCTTTCCTCGAGAAAATTAAAAATATTTCTGCGATGAATGCGTGGAAAATTCTCGGAGAAATAAAAACAATAAATGAAAGCGATTTTATTGGAGAACCTGCAATTTCAGCTCGTATTTGCATGCACTTCTCATTACAGCGGAACGGATGTGTTTTGAAGTCTATTCTTGAACGCTCATTTGTGTGAACTGTTTGAAATCGATTTTTTTTTTCCTTGCGGGAAACTTGAGGCAATAAAACTTTTGACTGATGACAATGTGAAAACATCATTGATCGAATCCAAGTTTTTAAAAGAAGTATCATGAAACATTTGTGAATGTATTACCAACCAGTAAAGAGAGTCGAATGACTCTGGAGTTGATAATTCTATGCATGATGAATACGCATTATACACAATTATAAGACTGATTAAAATCAGTGACCGCCACAAAATCTGATTGTTGTGAAATTTTGATAATCAAGTTAAGCCAAATTCAATTTTATTTGAAACACAGAGTAGAAATATCCCGAACCAAGAGACTGCTATTTTATTATTTTACCAACTATTGTTTTCTTGCAATGCACCTGTCCCACAATCGGTCATTCAAATTCTGGGAGAAAAATTGCAGTACGATTTCTTCAATTCAGAATTTAGATTCATGTTATGCGTGATAACCATTTCTTAATAATCTATTCTTGAAAAGGCAATACCATGATTGAAAGAAAAAAATTGCTGTACTTGGGAAATCTTGCCGAGCACATGGATAATATTCTTCAATATCATCCTGACATACTATTACACATTATTATTACATATATGATATATGCATACATGCTAAGCGGATCAGAAAAATGAGACTTACCTGATTTTGAATTAAGTTTTCAAATAATTTTGAGTGTTTAGGATTGAGAGCTCTGTTTTCAAAGCCCATAATCCATCTTTTAACAAATTACAATCTTTTTTCCGCAATAAACGGATGAAAAATATTATCTGTGTTTCTCTGATCCTAAATTGCTCACATCCGAACAAGTTTCCTATAGGAGACAATGTTTCTTTAGTGAACCAGTGATAATTTGAAAAGTCACAAGTTAACAAAACTCAGAATTTCGGCCAGGAATGAATCATCATTCTCCATCTAATATAATTTTCTAACTGCTAGTGAGGGATTAATTAGAGTCATGAAACTCATGAAAATTACATTACGGTATTTTAAATTGGCGATAATGCGGTAACCATGTTGATTACGCCGTATTCGTCTATAATACAGGAGCACGGACACATTTTTTCACGCAAAAATATTTAATACAGGTGCTCTCTCACTGTCTCTACAGAAAAATTCATGGGATGGGACGTCACCAAACACTCGTTGTCGAGAGAATTCCATTGTAGAGAATCCTAATAACCGTAATAAAGAAAAAAATCGTTATAGACCAAAAGATCGCTGTTGAAGAAAAGAGTCCACCTGTACATGAATTAAAATTACAGGCTTGCGGTAGTTCTTCTGATGGAATCAAGCAGCGAATACTACATTTAAAACTTGGCCGAGGAATCTTGAGTTTTCTTGTCTACCCTGTACTGTTTTCTTTTCGGCGAGATGAACACGTTTTGGAAAGATTTGCGCAGAATTTCTGCGCCTAAATGCTTGCGTCCCCTTACACGGCGTTGCATATATAAGTCCACTCCCGAGTAGACCGGAAGTCAGAAGCTTTGTGCGCTCAGCAGGAAACGTACAATTTTGAGCTCAAGAAATGATACCGTTGAGCTAATTAAAAAAAAAATCATTCTCAACCTGGTGAAGAACTCAGTTCCTTAATATTTGGACAAAAATTATACGCGTTATCTGGTGTATCACCAGACTATTTCAAATGTAACCCGATGTTTTTTTTTTATTCGGTGACGAAAGATGAACTCGGAAATTTATTAACGCGATGATGGGAATGTGATTGTCTTCCATTAGCTGTATTTTACTCGAAAATTCAGGCTTGTATTTCTCTTATCCTTTAATTTTTTGATGGGAGAAAATCCCACAACTGTTTGTGGGGTTTTAAACTCATTTTCATTCCCTTTGAAATTCCTCGGACTAATCAATAAAATAGAAGCATATACGTAAATGCAATTTAATAATATTTTTCCACCAAGGACATCTATATAGATCTTCAGCAGGAAATCTACACGGTCTGTAGAGAATAAATTACAGGAAATTTCGAAAAAACTTCAGACGATCTCAAAATGGACATAGCCAGTTGAACAATAATCGGCATACTTCGCTTGGTTGCTTATTACCGTGTCCTACAATGATTAGAACAAGTAACCCTCATAAAATCCTTGCAATCAATTATAACAATCATGATACAATCCTCTATAATGTTTAAATAAAATGCGTTGCTTAGTGCTCTGTCTGTGATTTACCCGAAGGCGCATGGAATTCGAGTAACCCTCGCGGAAACAATGTGACCACATTAAAACAGGATCTTCAGCAGTAACGTCGGTTTTTTTTACTGATGTGCTGATCAGGAGCAATTTGAATAAAACCCGTAAGCCTGAATGCATAGTATAATTGCATGAACTTCGATTTCTTGCCTCTCTCATCGAATAAGACGAGAGGTACAACCATTCATGTTGGAATTCAAGTGCTGTCCGAGATGCTGTCGGTATATTTTCAGTATACTGTTCAATATTTTTGAATAAAAAGCGCCAATAAGAAGTTATTCTTTGGTTAATTTTCGGAGAAGCATTGCATGATTATCCTGGTCATGTATATATAGTATATAATGAGAATATTTTCTTCGAAATGAAATGCAGACGTTTTTATATAGCAAGCGGTTCGCTATGGGAATCGGCAGCAGTACGTGGATTCTGACCTACGTGGCAGGAATAGTTTTAAAAATGGTTTGCCTTTCGGTAGAAGGTGAAGAGACCTTTCATTACGTTCCATCCAGCAAGTCCGGAACCAATAACGTCGGAAAAGCTTCGGGCATCGAGACGAGTGATTTACATAATGATAAATTGACTAATCAATCGGTGCTGTTTAATGAAAACCTGGTCGACGATTTTCTCGTATCCAAAATGGAACAACACGACGTCGGTATCAATGCAGTTCAGCCCTTCAAGATTGCACCGAGACGAAAAAGGTGTTTATAACAAAACATGTATAGTGCAGTAGAACTGAGATTACTTGAGGCAATGATCAAATGTGCCTCATCACAAATACAAATAGAATCTCGTTACGAAGAATTATATTTCCTTAGGTCCCCGACATTCTATTTTAGTTTCAATAGAAATGCAACGATTTTTTTGTACTGAACAAAATACAGGTAAACTCTCGTCTAGGACGAATTTTTCTTGGTCCCTTGCATTTCGTAGTAGAGAGGGTCCCCCTCTCTACTACGTTTTTTCGTTTATTGCAAAACAAAACCAGCTTGCATTGAAACTAAAATAAAATGTCAGGGAGTACAGGGACTAAAATATAATCCTTTGTGATAAAATTCTGCCTGCATTCGGGATGAGGGAAATTTGGTCATTCCCAACGAAATCCTCTCTACGACGATTTTTTTCCTGATGACTTGAATTTTGTTCCAGAGAACCCCAAAGATGGGTGATGGAGACCACCCGTCTCTGCATAACCAAAAAATTCGTTATGCAGAGAAAATCGTTATACTGTAAACAAGATCGCTGTAGAGGGAGTCAATCTGTATTTTTCAGGTCCCAAAATGGCTTCATCGTAAATCACGGCTTACGCACGATAAAAAATATTTATTTAAACATGACTCATTTATAGATGCCTTAACGTACCGACCAGCAAGCAGATGATCAAATACAATAACACATGTTCGAATACTTCAGGAGTTATTCAAAGCAACAGTAAAATTTTAAATGAACGACTTCAAAATCTCGAGGCGCATTAGCCCGGTTGATGAGTTATGATGAGGGAAATAATATAGTGATCAACGCAATCTTGAATTTAATGCTTTCAATTCGGAAGTTGAGAGTATACCTCATCAAGCCTAGTCTAACACTTGAAATATACTCATACAAAAGCTGCACTGTTTTTTTTTCTCTTCGTATTGAAAACGAATTTGCGGAACGATTGAGTAAAGCCCAGGTAATCCTATGCTCTACCGTATTTCTGATTGTAAAATATTTCTCCCGACTTCTAGCATGTTTCTTTTTTTGTTTCTCCCAAGGTTGTACTTTTGGGAACCGCTCAGACTGCGATTCAACTTTTTCCGGCAAGGAACGGGCAAATTTGCAAAGAACGACAAGAAGACGACGCCGAGCGCCGCGGAAATCATCAAACTCACCCAGCAGATTCCGCGCCAATTCCTCGCTGAATTGAATAAGAAACCCTCGACAATGGAGAAAAACCCCGTCGCATTGCAGCTCCATCAGACATCATCGCATGACTTGATCTCTTCTACAATCAACAGAAAACCCAGCAAATACCTTTCTCATCCAGCGCACTTCTACAAATTTATGTTCACTCCCGGGAAACAATCTGCTGAGGACTCCTCGGAGAAAAAGCCAATTGCGGACTACAAAATGTAATAGCTCCGAAAAGAATGACATTTTGAATTCACATCAAAAATAATAATTTTGAAAATGAGTGCTCATACGATATTCAGACTTAATTACGATGGTCTCCTTAAAAAGTTCGAAACCATAGAGCGCGAACTGTCATCGGAGGTAGTCGGTCGATCACTCCTCAGGTGTTCCTGAGCCAACAGAATTTTTTTAATACGAAAAAATAAACACTTTGGAGCCGTAATATTATGATGTGAGTTTTTTCAATGGTTTCCTAATTTGTTTTTAGTTATAGCCCAGGTCACCGGTTCTAGCAATCCGCAGGTCCAAGAGGGTCTGCATATGCTGCAGCACCAAAGAACACAAAGGAAAAACGTCTACACTGTATAAGCGAGTACATACCAGGCTTGTCCCAGTCGGTGATAGGAAGAGCAATTCTAAAATAATTGAATCCACATTGAAAATCATGATTTCAAAAATGAGCGCTAATACGACATTCAGACTTAATTACAATGGTCTTCTTAAAAAGTTCGAAACCATAGAAGATCAAAGGGGCACTGAAAATTTGTCCGGCCAGCTAAAAAGTGAAACTTCTTTGTTGTTCCGACCATTATTTAAAACGTAGAAAAGATGATAATCAAAATTACGAAAACATTTAAAATTTTAGCTGGCCTGAAAAATTTTTAGCACCCTGTGACATAAGGAAACCATCAAGAGCTGTAACTGGAAAATTTTCACTTACCATCATGGAGTACAGCATATTGAGAATTTTTTGACAAATTAAAAATTTCGGAACAGCCTATATTACAAATTATTTTTACAATGTATACTTGGCTCTAGAAATACACGAAGCAACAACTCGGACGGTCCTCAATATGTAAGAAGGAGCGGCCAAAACGAATTAATGAGGATTTCCATCACCTTTTGATTACTCAATGAATGCCCAATTTTTATTTTTCAAGAACTAAGGTCGAAGTGGCTTTTCACTGAATTTCTGGAGCTAATTGTGGAGCAAGAAATACTAACTAGCTGGTGATGAACCGCCTCCAATTATCGTTGGAATTGAGCAAAATGTGCATGAAAACCATCACGCACCAAAAATTTACAAAACCATCTCAGCATTTTTGGGAAAACCAAAAAGTTCCCTCATACATGATGAACAGGTCGCGTAGTATGGATTTACATAACTTGTCGAAGGCTCAGCCCCATGTCCAGAACATAGTGCAAGAAAAATATATGTATCACAGTAATTGCAGCAGCTACAAACTAACAATATTCCAGTCCAATTTGAACCTGAATTGAAAATACATTGAAATTCAGATGAAATAGATATATTTGGACGGATACGTTACATAATTCAAACATGCACTTTAGATTCATTAAAAAATATGATTCATGTTCGAATTTGCACCACGTTGCAATGGATGGACGACTTGATTCGTTCAACAAAACGTGAGTTTCCCGAGGCTATATCGGCATCACAGAAAGTTTCTGAATCCTTGTGAATGGCAAGCAATGCGTTATTTGGCCTTAATGATTGAAGCACACGGGGAAATAAATCCAAATCGACTCAGGTCTCAAAACTTCGACATAAGTCTGAAACCGATTTCCGTCATGTCCTGTGGAACTGACTCGTGATGGCAGACGAACAACTCTTGTTCGACCGGCGCAGGAAAATATCGTCTAAAAAACGAAGGAATATGGGCATAAATGGTGCATGAGATCAAAAGCAGTCCCGCATTAATCATCAATAAAATGTCTTTTTCTTACCCGATAACCCAGAAATGACATGAAGACTTCTTGGCGCTTGAAGTTTTCTTTTCCCCGACGCCGAAATTCTTCAACGTCATCAATATGCCCTGTTCAATCATCTGAACCAAAAACAACGCATTAACACAAAGAGGGAGAGAAAAGTGGAATTTTTAATTACAGTACCGGGGAAGATGCTTTCAGTTTCCGATCGGTATCAAAACGGCGCCGTATGATGGAAACCGCACTTCGAAAGTGGTTCAATAACCGACCAAACGATTTGGAGTTTTGCCGAAGTATGTCCCCTTCAACTGGACAACATATTACCCCACTTTCTCGCATCTCAGCCACAAAGTAGAAGATTGATGGAACCAAATCAGGATTGCATGGACCGCGAGATACTCTGAAAATTCGATAAGCGTAAAATCGCGTATGAGGCTCCGATCAGAATGAATAATCCGATGCTGAAAATGTAATCACCTGAACTCGGCACGACTGTCCTCAATGTCATCAGGATGCAATGACATAAGTACACCTCCCTGGAGAAAATCGAAAACACCGACAGATATTTGAACCAATCCTTGAAATAGATCAAAAAATTTTCCGTCGTACTTTCACTGAAGTTTCTTCCACGTAACTGGACGACCTGGAACCAGTCGACGGCAAGGGAGTCGAAGATGCTGCAGGATCATCGACACCATTTCTGCTTTGGCCACGTCTAATTGGTCTTTCGATGCCGTCCAATTCATCAACTTCCCGGAGTCTGCCAGGGGCGAAGCTCAACCGCGAGGTTTCACCGTCAGATTCCCATGTCGGATCACCATCAAACGCTGCAAAAATTCCAAGTCACGCGTTTTTCACATGCGAAGTGTTCGAGGAAAAAGTTGTTCTTTATTTCTTCCGCTCAAAACTCAGAAAATAAAAGAAGGCAGGCTGCTGTTAGGGTTCGTAAAAATATTTCAAAAATAGCATGTACCATTCTCACGCGAGTACATCATCGATCAAAAATAAAGCGCTGATTTTATTCCGCTCATGCCCATTGCAACTATCGTTCTTCGGCGTGAATTTTCAAGAAGTTTCTTCACAAATATTAATTACATTTTAGGGTTATCCCAGTCCCGCAGGGGAAATATTCCTCATGTCGTTCAAAATGTTAAAAAGAAGTTTTATGTCACCCTATGATTTTTAGGCTTCTGGTACTTCTTCAAATTTGGAAGAGATTGTTTCAGTAGGCATGATCAGTGATGGTAACTTTCTCATTTCAGATCAGAGGTTCCCATTTAGTCAACACTTCGCTGAAGATTTTTCTTGACAGTTGAAAAATTGAAATTATTTCCCGATTTAAATACAATTTTTTCTCGTGTGTTGTGAAATTTCAAAAAATGTTTTGGGTCATCCAAATTCCTAAAATCAATAGGTGATTAGTCTGTACCAATAAAATTAGATATTTCTTGAAGGCTCAGCTCTAGTTCAAGTAACCGCTTCCAACCCTTGATAAAAAAAAATAAAATTTAAAAAGTCGATAAAAAGCTCTCATCGGCGACCGGGAAGTCGATGATTCATATATTATGCTTTATATTTTACTCACTCAAATCCCGCTGCGATTGGCTTCGAAACATCAAGCCACTCCGCTGTGAGTCTCTGCCAAGAGACGGATATAACACCGGTTGCGAAACCGCGGCCACAAGTCGGGGTTTGTTCCCTACATTCTTCACAGCTGTCTTCTGCTTAGCTTCCGACTTTTTGCGAACCAAAGTTTTCCCATTGCTCTTCAGGACCGAGTCTATCTGATTCAGTCCTCCGCTTATAATGCCAGACAAGAGCGATGCCGCAGCCACTTCCGTGAACCGCAAACACCCGATTTGCCGCAGCAACTTGAATCCCCGTTGAACATACGCGTATTCTGGTCCCGCAACAGCTTCTCGACTGTAGCGACAAATCAATATAAATTTCGGAATGCTAACATTTTCAAACGCCAAGAATACAGACCCGACGGTAAAAACAGCAGACTCCAAAATGACGACATACAAGAGCTGGCCCTAAATTACGAAAATATTTTTCAGAAGAAGCGCTCAGAAGATTGAATACTTGTTCAGTCTCACATGTCCAACAACGAGCAAGTAGCTCATGCGTTTATCTTCGGAATGAAAGCCGTCGTCATCGAGGAAAATCGGCTGCCAAACCACTAGTTGATCGACCGAACGACTCCATGTGACCTCGAATAACTTCCGAAATTTCAAAAGCAATACTACTTTCGCCAGAACTCCTTCACTCAGGTGAGAAGCCAGCAAATAGCCCTAGAAAAAATAAGCCTCCAGGTCAGCGGACTTCACTGTGAAGCCAAGATGATAACTGACCACATCCTTCAGGATAACTGAAATCGACTAAAATTGTATTCCACAATGACCTAACGTAATTGAGATCAATACTGTACAGTGTACAATATAATGTACATAGGGCACCAAATTTATAAATTAACCATGGACAAGTTCTTCTGCAAACACAGAAAGTGACAGTTTGTTACGCAAGTTTTTAGGCGCACAAATCGACTCGACAGTTGATAGACGCTTTGATAATTGAGTTTTCAACAGAATAAACTAAAGAAGCACTTCTACGTACCTTAAAAAAAACTGCAGAACCTGATATGTAACAACCTCGCAACCAGTCGGATTCGAAATCAACCTGGGATAAAAAAATAAGTGTCAAACTCGGAAAATAACCCGAGACTATGGAGGCCAAACTCACTGAATACTCCCACGCTCCAGACTCATAGTCAGTTAGCATGGAATCCAACTGCATTTTTAGGCCCAATTTCAAAGGAATTGTCGGACAGCGACATGAACCAAGCACGTCCCAAAGGCCTGATGACATAAGCTCGAACGTCAAGTTTCCATTCAGCTCGGAATTTCGCTCTTCCCGCAGCGACGAGAAATGTGAATCGAAAACCGCATTTAGGCGGTTCAAAAGCTCTTGTTTGCCAGCGTTGCTTTTCAACGCCTCTTGCATACTGCCAAGGGTACATTAATACAAATATTTATAGCATAATTTCGTCGGAATATATGCTTGTTCTTAGCTTACCCCAACAAATTTCCGAATTCAAGATCAAGGAAGAGTTCAAGGTCATGCGTTCTGAATTCTTGTAAGTTTCTTGAGTAATACCTAGAAAACAAACAATAAAAAAACACTCTCATATCTTCAGTTTGATCAAACTTACTCATCGCATTCCAAGGCGAGAATCAGAACTTCTGGTCCTTGTACAACATGGGACACCAAGATGTGATTTTCGTCCAATTTCAAACGCGAACTGGGGAGTTAAAATTACAGATTTAGCAACAATTTGTAAAACTTATAAAATTATAAGGTACTCACAGAGTAGGTGATGACGAAATGACGTCCTTCGCTACCTGAGACAATGTCAGCAGAGCCCCCCGCATTTTCCCCAACTTCCCTTTCCAAGACTTCACGGAAGACGGGTAGCAGTATAAGACTTTATTCACGTCCCGACATCCCGGTTCGTCTCCCCCGCCACGTAAAGAGAAAAATCCAACGTATCCCTCGAAAGGCGCAGATGACTGTAACCTGGGAACAAGTGGAGCGTCCCATGCGGAGATCCATTGCGCTCGAGCAGCAGAATTTACTTCATTTTCTGAATTTCCGACTACAGATCCGGTCACCGAGGGGGTGCTTTCAACAATTATTCCAACATCCGTGCTTGACTTGAACACTGGCGCCAACGGATTTTCCGTTCGAATTGAAGCAGCTGTAAGCAGCGTGAGTTTAATCTTCTTCTGCTTCTTACGCAGACACGCAGATAAAATGTCTTGCACGTCCCGATATGAAACTGGTTCGCTGTTTACAGCAATCAATCGATCACCTGCACGGAAATACAAGTATACAAAACAGGAAATTGAAACAAAATTTTACAAATACAGTATAAGTCGGTTATAGTGGCGTTCCTCAAGGAATGAAATTCAACTCGCGATATACTGTACTTCAATGACTGGAGTATGTCTGCACATCTAAACCACTAGCTCGTTTCTGTTTACCCCTCTGACCATCGATTACCATTTTTACTTTCAATGAACAGGGGTAGTCTAAATTTGATCACTCGTAGTATGCTATAAACTAGGTTTGGTTATATTAATCCAGGTTGATAGCACCCAGTTTCGTCAGATTTATTAGGGTTAACTTTCTTTCAATGGACCCGGGCAGCCGCCAATTTGCGTGAAATTTCGCCGTCAGCATCATTTTTCAAATGGAAAGAAGCTTCTTTGGCATCTGCGATCATGGCAAGCATTGCTAATCCAAAGTACTGTTCAAAAATTGTTTTCCGTGCCGAAATGCTCGCTTGCTATTTCAAGATCTTTTACATTAAATATATATTAATTCAGCAATTTATCGAATCAATCAACAACAAAATTTGCAATTGATCTGGAATGGATTAGCTATGCTGTACTGTACATCACTCAGTATACTTTCTGAACAATGGGACGTCCCAAAGGAACAGATGAAACACATCACGCAACGCACAACCGTTCAAGAATCAAAAAGTGATCCCACATCGAGTAATCAAAAGGTGGGCAAAACAGAAGCTCAAAACCGAGATTTCCGAATAGTCGTAAAAAAATCAAGGACACCCGTCTAATTTTGAGAAATTAAAATACCATATGCGCGAATGATGTACAAGTATCAAGTCGGACATACCGGGACTGATTTTACCGGAGACCAAGCAACTGCTCTCCGGAAGGATGGCTGCAACACGAACGAAATTTTCTCCAGCACTGACCGGCGGAAGAGCAACAATGCCTAGTAGGCGCCCCAACAAAGCCTCCTCGTCACCTTCTTTACCCTTCAAAGACTTCCGAGATATTCGAATCCAAACATCCTTCCGACCATCATCGCACGCATCGTACTTATTCTTCGCGTCACTCGATTTTTTCTTCAAGAACGATTTCAGACGCCGCCCTGTTCAAAAAGTCAATCGATAATATCAATGAACTCATTCATCAATTTTGAAAACAGATAGTTGAACAGCTTCAATGGATCGTAATATGTAATGGCAAATACCCGCAGTTTTCTTCCAATCCGTCCCATTTTTTAAACGAGGCTCCGAAACAGATGCATGGTTTGGTTTCGGATTGAGGTAGAACAAGTTTCCCTTGCTGTCAACAAATTTGTCCCACACAGCAGCTTCTGCGCAAGACCTGCAAAAAAAAAAAATTTTTTTCACGGGACTTCAAATGATGAATGATATTCTCACCTGCAGCTTCCGGAGGTTTCTGTGTAAATGGATACATCAAGCTCTGAATCGGATGAACTACAAGAAGAACACGATGATGCGAATCGGAAGTCGGAATCCGAGGAAGAAGAGCCATCATAATTTCTCACAGCGACACGAGATCGTTCACTACGTCTACCTTCCACACGCGTTGATCGAGTTCTTCGCACGCGTCTTTCAGGAAATTCTGGGGCACAGTCAGAACCAGAAGTCGCAGTGCTTCTCCATGCCCTGTCAGTTCCATTGTTCATCCTTAAGTCATCTGATCATCACATTAGTATAATTGCGTCACATTCCAGGTCTGCAATTTTGGAGTAAGCGTTTATCAAAAGCATTGTTCACTGGTAAAAAAAATTCCCACGGCACCAGTGAAGTATGACAATCTTCATTTTTATTTTATTTTGAACACTAGACAAAAACTTAAAACAACACCCCACCGTTTCATCTGACTTCAGCAAGCGAAGTTACAGTCACTGGCAGTCCACATTAAAAATAATTTCAACATGATGCCAGAGTGAGATCTGACAGAAGCTGGGTGCAACAGAAGTAGAGAATCTGGGAGACATACAAAGGATACCTTAAGACAGAAAAGACAGAACAACGCGGAGATAGCTCCAGAGCAAGAAAGAAATAAGTGGCGGGCAAAAAAGTAATAGATCCAAAAATTCCTTTCATCATTTCGCTCAAAAAAAACGCAGGACTGATGTACAGTACTATAATTTCCTTTTACAGTGACTCTCACACAGCAGAAGACCTGCGTACCAAAAAATTCGCTTAACAAAAATTCCTAGGAAAATAAATGACGCACATAATGAAATTGCTTCACATTACAGAGTTTCTCGGCCAAAAATTCATTTAATTTCATACAATTTTATCTCGAACTTCAGAAAAGAAAAAAATGAGGGAAATGAAATAAATGAGTTTACTGTTACATATTCTTATCTTTATAAATTGGGAAATCCAGAAAATCACTAGCACGTTACCATGATTACTTCAATTTCAGGCGAACTAATTTTAAATTCATAATTTTATGCTGAAAATGAACAAATTTCAAGGTTTACTAAGGTATTTTTTGTGACTGAAACAAATTGATTCATTAACGATGTAATCTTAAGGGATAACAGAAATTCTGCATAACAAAACACATCGAGGAACAATTTGCTACAATTATGCAGCGACCCACTGTAATTTTATGAAATACTGTAGGCCTAAACCAGTTCCCAGATTAGTAGAGTAGCCAGTTGAGAAATTAACAAAATAAAGCGGTTGCATAATTTAGATACCAAACCACTCATATCATTTTCATCATTAAATAGAGGTACAACGGCTGAGAAAAATGAATCGCGAACGGCTGCCACTGAATTCGAAGGTTAATTATGACTTGAAATCTGGCTTTGGCGTCTCAAGCATATCATTGTCATCTTGTGTTATCGGTTGAAGTGGATCGGTTTTCCAAGGAGTCATTCCTGGTAATTCCATAGACGAGAAATCAGGCAGCTTATATCCTGATGACCCGGGCGGCTTCGGTACCTCGACAGATTTTGCAGGCGTCGCAAATTGCTTTGTCAAGTTCTGGGTGTTCTTCCTACCAGACAAATGCAAGGTTTTTCGAACTTTTGGCTGGACACCAGAATCAGATGTCGACGAAGATGCTATCGAAGTCTGGATTTCTCCTGGTGATGTCTGCGGAAGCGATTTGCGTTTCCGAGATCCAGGGCCATCACTGCCCGGGGTTAGGCTAGACCTACGGGGCGTACCTCTACGCGAATCGTCTGGCGGCGTGGTTTTTCCACGTGGACGGGGGGTGGTATCTGACTTCCTCCCAGGTTTCTGTGGTGGAGTTCCCTTCTTTTGTTTTGACCTAATTGAAATATCATCATGAGCAGAAGGTAGGATTTACAATTTTCGAAGATTGAAATGATAACGTATGAGCCTCAATTATAGATCCGGTATTCCTGATGATCAAGGAAAGAACTACATCAACTTTAACATAATGCTGAGCACAGAGAAAAATTTTCCAGCCTTTTGTTAAGAATTCTGAAGCAAAAGATTATCTGTTTCCAAAGAAACCCAATCCTTCCACTTGGACCATTTAGTTGCTCTCCAGTAATTCGGTCAACATATCAAAATCAACTCACTTCGCTGTTTTCTTCGCACTGGTTTTTGTTGGCTGTGGCGATTTGGAACCATCAGCATCCTCAGGCGACTTAGAGTTCACTTGCGGCCGATATATGTACGAAACCTTAGCTGGTCGCAGCGTTTTTCCCACCTTCACGTAGGCACCCCCTTCCACATATTTCACTCCGCACGGAACACAATGCCGCAAACGTGCTTTGAACTTGGGGTCATCGTCATCGTGACACTTACACGGGCATGACGAACCACCAAAACTTTCCGACTCTTCATCGACGAGTCTCATTTCTTCATCTCCTCCAGAATTACTGTCATCGTCTTTCTGAATAATCTTCTGCTCACCCGTGTCATCATCATTCGATGAGCCATTTGATTCGTCTCCCAGTATGTTCACTTCTTCGAAATCTATTTCTTGAAACATGCTAAAAAGAAGGTAAGGGATTTAAAATTACCAAAACGAATTAATTTCGATTCTCAGAATGAAAAAAAAAAGTGCTGCAGTCAAGGTCTTGGATTGCTGAATTCTTTCCGAAGAAAGCATCACGAAAAAAGTGTAAATGCTAGAAGTACTGGCATTACCTTTCAGGAGGCTGCTCACACCTTAGCAGCGAAGTGAAAAGATCCAGAAGATGTGGATTTCCACGCAACAAAGGTTGTACAATACTTCTGACATTTTGCTTTGTCACCAAATCCGTCTCTCCGCTCGACAACTGCGTTATTGCCTTGGTAATCTTCTGAACGTGCTGGGGTTGCTGCGCAAAGTGTACCTCTAAGCAACGCAAAAACTCTCGCATCGTCTGGGCGTAGCTGTATTCTTCATAGCGATCGAGGGCAAATGCCACGTCAGCTCCCACAAACGTTAGGAATTCAGAAACGAGATCAGGATAACCGTCGAGAAAGGTTTCCACACGGTGAAAAAACTTGATACGGTCCACCAACGGCGCGGCGTCGTCAAATTCCAGCATGATTTTATAGAACTGGCTGTAAACATGGTCTTTCCCATCTTGCGACAGCGTTTCGTGCAGTTTGAATAAGAACTGATACACCAGCTGATCGTCACGCTGCTCTTCCACTTCAGGATCCTCGTCAGCCAGCATTTTCAACGAAGCTTCTGTTTCCTTGATTTTCTTACTCTTCCTGAAATTCCATACAAGAGAAATAAAAAACATGAATCGAAGAAAGACTCTGTGAGAATAATAATAACTGTAGTAGCTGGTCTAAAATTCACCTCGTAGGCTTCTTCACAGTTGTGCTTGCTTTCATCAAATCATCCAAAGGATCGACGGGTTTTTCTTCGGGAGTTGAAGGTTCTTTCGATTTTGAGCGAGAAACAAGAGTCCTGGATTTGCGTACTGGAGTGTTCGACTTGGACGTGGGATCATTAACTTCCAGAATAACCTGCTGAACAGCAGCTGGTAGGAATTCGTTTGAAACTTGATGAACCGGCAGAATTTTTGACTCTGCACATTCGTCAACATCGTCATTGTTCGGTTCTGGATCATTATCTTTTTGACCTTCGTTGCTTTCCGATGCAGGGAAAGGTTCAGGTTCCATATGCGCAGAGGAGTCCTCTGGAAATGAATGATTTTCTTCCTGGTGCATCATATTAACAACATATGTTTGCTCCGGTAGGTGAGCGAATAAATCTATCTTCGGAATCAAACTTGGAGCACTCTTGAACTTTCGACCAAGTTTCACAGAAGGTTTCGACTTCAACGGTGACAATTTTCGTTCAGCAAGGCCGCAATGCACCTTTGCATCAGTCACAAGTTTCTGCCACACAATCGGGAAGTTCTGAATGGGATTAATTATCAACGGAGTTGATTCAACGAATCTCTGGACCAGATATTCGGGATGCGAAACTGACGGCAGAATTCCAGTTCTTACGAAAACCGACAATGGATTTTCGTCACTGCAACGTCGGGTAGAAGAAACATTTTTAACGCGAACAACGATCTGGTTCACATTCCTCGCGGGCATGAGGTGCTTCTCAATCAATGCGGCAGCTCTAGAGAAGGCGATAGATCGCAGACCAATCCAAGTCTTCTTCCTTCCGCCCCTGAACCTTGATGGACAATTTTTTTCCACAATCGGAAGGAATTCTCGCAATCCTAGCGCAATGAGCCTGCTCACATAAATCAACATCAGACGGATCAGTGGTTAATCAAGACCAGTAACTAACCGATCCTCCGCCGGAGAGAATAACAGGACACGATTGCTCAAACACGGACACGGGTCAGTTGGTTTCTTTCCGAAGCATAACGGCATCCTTGTAGGTAACATTTCCGGGAACATGAGCGCCCTCGATTCCAACAAATTTTTTGCGATTGAGATGGGTATTTTCAAGCCGGGATAACGATTATGCCTACAATGAACATAAAAGACGAAATTAAATTTGAATAACCAATATTTGCTATGCTTCATACGTACACAAATTTTGTGTCAGGATGAACATTTTCATCTACTTCTTCTGAGTCTTTTTCACCAATTTCCATCATCGCAGCTGGTAAATTGGGAACGGCGAAGAAGGAAAAGGGTACCGATTTGGATACAGGGAGAGATTCCCCGTCACAAACCGGGGGCTCGTGACGTAAATCATTGATGTCCATCTATTAAACAACATGGTATTGATTCGATTTGCGTAAGGTTCGAAGCATAAACTTACTAATGATGTTCGACATGCATGTCTAACATATTCAAGACATGGGCTGCCCGCACACAAATACCAAGTTTGTGTCAGAAGATGGACGTGTCTCGCCATTTGGTCATACAAAAGGTCAAGCTGATTTTGGCTGAAAAGTTCTTTTGATTTCGGGTCGAAACTTTCGTCGTCATCAGACCCTTCTGAAGCCTGTGCGAAGTTTTCAAATTCGGATTCGAAGGTTCGTTCTGCTCTCTTGGATTCTTCGGGCTTGGTTTCTGATCCCTTCACAGATATGAATGAAGGAATAAAATATAATATATATTATTCCTATTATAATATAATATGTAATAAAATAAAAATATAATATGTATTATTATATTATAATATAATATGTATTATTATATTATAGTATATATTATATATAAGGAATAATATATAATATATATTATAATATATGATTTCATATATTATATGAACACAAATAAACAGCTGATCAACGGCACAATTTCACAGAATCTTACTTTTTCAAGAGTCGGACGTAAATCATCAAATAAATCGTCTTCGAAGAGTTCGGACAACAAATCATTAAGCTCTCGTTTCGAAATTCGCATCCTTGCTGTGTTGGCCGTCTCTTCGGGGTCTAACGAAATGAGAGAAAAATGAAAAATTAGAACAAGAGAACAGGAAATAATTTGACAAACCTGGCGGTTCTTCAGCTTCTACAACATTGAATTCTGGATCACCATCATCGTCTTCAGCAGGGTCCGCCGCGGCTTCTAAACAAGTTCAAATTAAACAATATGTTATCCATGAATTTTTCCGCATAATTTTCAGGCACAAAGCGTGCATATTCTTTCACTTACGAGGTGGTTTCAAAACCAAATCCCGTAGAAATTCGGCCCAATCAGGATTATCTACCTCTGTGTCGTACATATCGGGAGTTATATCCGGAGGGATAAACGAAAGTTCAAAACTTTCAACTGTCGTATCTTTCATGGGATGGCGCGACCTCGTGCGCAAACTGATAACATCCTAAATAAATTCGCAGAATTCAATCAACTCTAGAATGTCAAGATAAAAAAAAGTAAAAAAATTACCTCCTTAGGCACCGGAAACTCCAAAGATTTGCGCGCATTTACGGAATCACGGGACGGAGTGGAAACACAAGGCGAACAAGCGTTTGCGTCCATTGACATTGGCGAATGTTTCATGCTTCGAGGTCCACTAAATTCATTTGACAATAGCTTCACACGCGTGGATTCCACAGTTGGTGTTCGTGGAGTACCAAAAGAAGGTGAGCCGATCTCACTCAATGATGTGCAACTATCAGCTTCACTCTATAAGACATTATTATTCTGATCAAGACAGCTTTCAGGCTTCAATACAATTTGCATACCTCCACTTCCTCAGGATTATATTCTTCATCACTTGAACTTCCTTCTTCACCGAACTCCTTCAATAGCAACGCTGCTGCTGCGTCCGCTTCAAGATCGTCCACAGATAATTTCTGCACAGTTGAACGCGAACCACGCATCATCTCCCTATGAAGATTTTACTCCATTAGTGCCATCATGCAATTGACGAATATAAGACGAACTAACTTGAATTTAGCGCGAGTAAGCTTGGGAGTGTAGCAACTGTTTCCGTCAGATTCCTCCTCCAAAGATATATCATCACCTTGAATGGAATCCCGTACCATTTTCAGAACATCTTCGTTCGTAATTATGTGTCTCAAAATGGTTTTGACATTGCGAACAGTCAGCTTTTGATCATCGGCCTTCCTCTGCAGAAGGGCATTAAGTTCGACATCAAGACACATTTTCTGAACGCTTTCATCAGCATCAGAAACCGCGTCGGCTGCAGAACGATTCGCTCGGCCATTGGTGGACGACCTAGAAGTAAAAAACGATGAGCATGTCAACGACGACATGTGACGAATCGTGAAACTTACTTCGACGATTGACGAGGCAACGCATATTTCGAACGTAGTGACGAATCACTGTCTTCATCCATTCCAATCGGTATCACTTAAAATTGTTTTAAACGAAATTATGATGCTCACGCTTCCCTCCGGAGAACAGTGAATTCTCCGAGTTTCCGGATACAGCGCAGCAATCAAAATAATTCGAACGAGGTATCGCTTAGATTTGGTTTGAACGGAATTATGATGTTCGCGTTTCCCCACGACGGACAGACAGTGGATTCTCGGTTTCCAATTTTTTTTCTTTTTAATCACAGCGCAGCAATCAACTTAATTCCAACGACGACAAGCGCAGTGTCACTGTGCATCACCTCTGTAGTATTCACTGTTTCACGCACGCTACGGGATAACTTACAGCACTAAACCTACATCTGCAATACCGTACTGTAAGGTAATTAGGCGCGGCCGTAATTATACTTTCTTGCGACATCTAACACAACGATTGGAGGAATCAACTACTACATGGTTGAGGATTGAATGTCCTCATGCTGCGGGATCTTGTTTTTCCATAGATTTCAATGGGCACTTATTTAATTTGTTCTCCAGTTCATCAAGAATTAGAAGCATAATAAACCCCTCAAATATCAAATAAAATGTGTTTCTTAAATTTAAGATACTGTATATGCAGTTAAGAAAGTCTCTGGCAAGATTGGGCTTCACAAAAATATATAAGTGTGTGCCGGAAGACAACCAAAAGTCCACACAGAATCTTCAATCTTTTGGCATCAAATAAACGACCCCAAAAAGCAGCGAACAAAAAGTACAAGCCTTATTGCTACACTGTGCTCAGCATGTGACAGAGAATACTTCAAAGTATACTAAAGTAACTCATTTTTGATAAAAATTTGAATAAATTTAAAATTAAATTCATTTTCAACTCTTGTGATTACAAATATTTTAATTACTTCAAGATCAAGATATCCAAATTATGAAGAAAAATTTTTTAATTTTTCAAGAAATTTGAAAAAAATGTTGGTACGTCAAGATATTGTGCGGATATTGTTGGGTCAGATTTTTTACTGTTTCAAGTGTTCCCAATAAGTGGGGTGTCCTCATTTTGGGGTCTCACTGTAAAGTACATGTAAGTACTGTATATCCTGTATAATACGCTGATGTGCGCATACATCAGGTAGGAAAATACCCCCAATGAAGGGGATATAATCTTCCAGGCATTGCTGGTGGAACCACAGCATAGAAAACCCTATGGACTTGCGCATTGAAAGACCTTCAGAAAACTCAATTGTGATCTTTTTGCACAGGAAACTTTGTATCGACATCCAGTGTACTCTGGCATGTATATGTGAGTTATAAAATACAGAATTATTTCTACATGATCATAAGTATAGTTTCAGTGATGCATCAAACCTTATATCCAGCACATGATGGGCAATATTTATTCGGGGCTACTGTGAAGTACTGTATAGTTACATTTTTTAAAATTCTCTAATCCTATAACTGGAGGGCAAAGCTATACTGTATAGTGAAAGCCATCATGTCTTACTGCTTTAGATCAATGGTGCATTTCATCTCTTACCTGCAATTTTTTTTAAAGTGAAAAGCTGAAAAATATTTGTTCCCACCTCGAGGAGGAAATGAAAGATTAATAGTGAAGATAAATACTGTAGCTCATGGCGAATTTATTTGTGCATTAAAACTTCTTTTCAGTATTTTGTGCGCAAACATACAGGACGGCGGGCTGAAAATATCAACCCACGATTGAGAAAACCATATATGCAAAGATGACCAGTGTTCGCGGCTACACTATGCTGGCCGTGGAAGCATGAAACCAGTGTTTAGTAAACGCGGAGCTATCCTAGCCAGCGCGGAAAAGTCCACCGAAAACTTCACTCCGAGGTTCCAGAATAGGCCCTCCTGTAGTAGCCTCCTTGGAAGAAATTGCATCCCGCCGGACTCGATCGATTTGGTTGTGTTTATTATGGTATTTTAGTATCAACCTGTTTCTAGCCGAAGCTCCCATCTGCATATTCGTCATCGTCTCTTAATTGCGGAGAACGCCTCAATTCCCTTGCTTCTGTCGAAAATCCGGGTGCGCGCTAGTAGTGCATTCCTTTTATATTTACCCCTGAGGGGATGATTCTCTTTTTGAATTGGTTTGAGTGAATTTCTGTGAAAGCTGTTAGAAGCCGCAGCATTCTGAATATGCGCAAATAATTTTTGCTTTGAATTTTTATTTTTTACTTGGTGCGTTTGATTCTGAGTTCGATGTGTTGCAGGTACATTCATTCGTTATGGCTGCGCGAGTCCAGCCTGAGTTGAGCGATTATGAATCTGATTCCGACTGTGAAAATGTATCGGATGATGCGAATTCAGATACTGAAGGGGCTGGTGATAAGGGAGCGTCATATTCAAATGTCGAATCAATCAGCTCTGGTAAAATTTGGCGCGATGTTGCGGAATCGCAGAGTCTCGAAGAATCAATGTCCGACGTCGTGAAGCTTACCGATGATTTTCCTCGGAAAACTTTTGCGAAACGGTCGCCCCGGAAAGATAATTCTGAACGTCGTGCTTCAAATTTTTCGCGAAGGATGAAGCGGTTTCTGCACGATTCCGGACTCAAGCCTTTGAAAAACGTTCTTGCCATGTCCGTGCAGGAGGTAGCGGATTTCAGAAAAAAATGGTTAGATTTTGTGGGTACCAGGCGACGATTCTTGATACACACGCTGGGGCATCGAGTGATGATTCCAGCGCTCGATTGCTCAAATGAGAAGTACATAGAGTTTCTTCCGCATGAAATTGCTTGGAACATACAAGAAGAAAAAATAGACGTTGTCGCCCGATTTTTAGAAGTCGTGGGTCTCGAAGAAATGATCAAAGCGTATAATAACATGCGAGACATTGAAGCTGCAGGCGGGATTCCTACCTCTGGGAATCAACGTCGTCGTTCAGCAGGAGGAACTTTGATGCAGTTATTGAAAAAAAATTCGCCACAGTTGGAAAGCGCTTTCAAGGACGTATTCAAGATTGACGTGAAAATTAGCAAATGCATTGGTCATCGGGAGAAAGCGAAACATGTTCGTCAGAGAACTGAAAACTGCAAGAGGCACTGGGAAGCGAAGGTCGAACGTAACCCCGATTGTGGCAGTAGGGTGGAAGAAATTTTGAAACGAAGGAAATTAACTGAGGTAGTTCATGATGTCAATGCCTCCTCAAGTATTGAAAAACCTCAAGAATCAACCGAGGACTTTTTTGTGCTCGATCTTGGGCTTGATGTTGCTGATGAGATAGGCGAATAATTCTATTTGCGATTTGTGATTTTTTTTCTACGCGTGTTACTTTGTTTCATTTCGAGGGCTGTCGAAGAATGTCCAGAATGAAGCCTCGCTACATTATTTGGTTCAAATTGGATGATATTTTTCATGTTTGATTCTATGTTTACAGTTCAAAAATGTACTACGTTGGTGGATATTTCGTTTGTGAATAATTTTTACGAAGAGCGTCCGGCCGATCGCTTCGTAACCCGTGAGGAGATTGTGATCTTTTTGTTGAAGTTGTTCCTGTATGTCTTTCTTAACATCAGCCGCGGAACGCTGCGATTTCGAAAGGTTCGTCTGATCTGTATAATTTTGATGAATTTAATACAGTAATGGGTGACGTGCTTCAGACATGACCAACGTTTTCAATACCACCTCCCGGAATTTGATGCCGGGAACTTCCTCGCTTCAAAGAGGAGGTCTGAGTGGTTCAGGGAGCGGGCACATCACTCCAACGTCAGTTGGTTTTCCAACCTTATCCAATTCCCTGTCGGGATCAACGCAACCGTCAAATTCTGGGCAGGTTTCTCCGAATCGCACTCGGGACATGTTCGCCTCTCGGCAGCGAAGTGGTACCTCAGAACTTTCACGGCTCAATCTGGCGTATGTATCGAATACTCTCGTCGTCATTCGTATTTTGAAGGAAATGATTGAATGATTGAAACCTGTTCGTGATGCAGGGGGAGTTTCGGCGCCCTGGGAAGCCAAAGAGGTTCAATAGGCTCTTCACATCCGGGCCAGTTGGGAAGTCACGGTCACCATCATCATCATAATGCGTTTTCGTCTGATCCGATGGGTCCAGCACCCCCAACATTAGATCAGTCAGAATTTCCATCCCTGAATTACCGAGCACTGAGTGGGGGATCAAGTGGAAGTATAGGATCTGCCTTCGGTAGTTTGTCAACGAGTTCGTCTTCAAATCTTCACGGAGACTCAAGTCAAGGGCAATCTGTCGGCATCCTTTCGGGTCGGTCTCCGTATGGTAGGTGATTCGCTATGAGAAAGAACCTTATTGGGAAATGTTGTGGAAGATGTTTTTTCAGCGATGACGAATTTCCGAATGAACGTGGGGATGGGGAAACAAGCCAACTCGGAGCCAGCGGAATTCACAATGACGTCGGAAGATTTTCCTGCTTTGCCCGGTGCTCCTGGGGGAAGTGAAACGATTGTTGGAGGTTCCTCGGGAACTTCGGATTCTTCCAAACCGGTCTCAGTCGCGTCTAATCAAGACAACTCAGTATCTGGTAAATTATTTATGATGCCGCGGATTTTCCTACTTCCTCCTGCTCAGTTTATTAAAAGTTTTTGTGAATGTGTTGAAAGCCGAAGCTTAGATACATTTTGAATTTTGTTTTGATCGCGTAAATTTTGTAAAGGAGATATTTGAATTTTGAAAGGTCGACAATAACTTCAGTTGAAGTAGCATAACACTTACCCACGACTTTCGTGAATAGGTTATCAGAGCATGTCCTCGGTATCAAGTTTGACGCAGTCATCGGCATCGACATCCGTCATGGGGTTAGGGATAAGCTTAACAAATGGGCCTAGCAAAAATCAGTCGGCATCAAGAGCGCCGGGTATTCAGTGGTTTCCAGATGGACGAATGACGAATATACCTGATGGAATGCTCACGGATCAGTTCGGAATCGCTGGCTTGTTAGCGTTCATTAAAACGGCCGAAGCTGATCAGAACCATTTGATGTTAACTCTCGGATACGAGCTTACCAACATGGGTCTCAACTTGAACGCTCAAGAGCCGCTATATCCCAGCTTTGGTGGGGCCGTGGTCGACAACCCGGTTCGGCCACAAGATATGGACTATACCGTACCGAGCGAATATAGGACCAATGCCCGCGTTCGGTAAGCATCCCTTCGTTGCTTTCGTTATTTAAATTCTGGGATTTTATGATCTCTCTGTCGATTTAATTTTTAACATTCCAACCCGCTTAATTGATGCGTGTCCATATGGTTGAGCATTCATTCCTGGCTCTCTTTATTGAATCCTTGGATTTTTTTTAGTTATGCGCGTTGTTCATATTTTTAAAAGTTTAGCTCGCATAAGTGGTGCATGTGTACGTTGATGTTCTTGAATTTTATTTTAACTCAAGCCCGTGAGGTCTTATCTTGGTTAAAATTCATTAACCACGCTTTTTCTGGACAGCTTTCATGAACCCAATGAACGAGTCTATTTAAAATCCCTCTACCAAAGCTCAGACTAATCTTGGAAAAAAAATTGCCGAACTATTTATTGCTCCATTTTTTCTTGTTGTTTGCTGAAAAGGATATTGATGCCGTTATTTTCCCTTAGTATGTCTTGTAATCAGCTTCTACCGTCCTTTTCTTCATGCAAATATTTCCTTTATTTGGTGATGAGTTATTTACTAATGATGAATTCTGTAAGAGTGTAAGTGATCCGTAGGTTTTTATTCTAACGTCACTCACTGTCACTGTATGTCTCAAATTTTAATGCAATATTGTAAAAAAAAATTAACGTAACATTTTTTAAAGCCCCAGGTTTAAAAATTATAAGAAAGAGAGCTTGAAGTGTGCCATTCTGTGCAGTTTTGGACGTCACGTAAGAACGGTGTGAAAATGCATCAAATGAAAGATCAACGTGTTTGGAATTGAAAAAAGTTATATAAGTAAGTAATGTGACGTGACAGAATTATTTTCAAAATCTCTTCTTTCATGTGTCCAAAATCTGAAGACGCATGAACCATCCATTGCGTTTGTTCGAACTACCTGTAACTACTAACATCAGACGAACATAGGTAACTGAAAAACATTTTTGAAAATTTATATTGAATTTCGTACCGAAAGTGGTACGTTTCGTATAATTTCTTTCAGTTCCAGTTCCCATTCACGGTGAATGCAGAGATGAAAAGTAGTTTCAGCGCCCACCTGAGCGATACGTTTCTTCTTATGCTGTCAGGTTGACTCATGGTGTTTTTTCTTCTTTTCAGGGATACACTGGCGCCCATTAAACTCAATCGATATGGGGAGGATCTGCTTTTTTACATATTTTATATGAATCCCTTGGACATGCTACAGTTGGCAGCTGCGTCGGAACTGTGAGTGAATGTTCTCGAAGTTCTCAAATCTGCAGGCGAATCATCGTCATTATTGAGGTTTACTAAGTATATTTGGAAATACATCTATGAATAAAATATTATGTGCTATTGGAAGCTGTTGAAAATTTTCCATATTTAAATAATGAGGCTAATGCTGGATGGCTTGGCTTTTTTGGATTGTGATAAATGGTCTATTCGTGCGAATTTTTGATAACCGTGTCCCTGGTTCTATATTCTTAGCTGGGACAGCGATTCTACGATTTCATTCGCCGTTCAAACTTGAAAGTTATTGATGATGTTGTCACTGTGAACGGAAAGTGTTCCTTGCATCAAGGTTGCATACTTCACGAACTTGGTATTAATTTCCATTAGTCAAATTTTAAAGTTTCTAGTCTAATTCCGTTAGAAGTATTGTACTAGAGAAGTACATGTAAAAGACGATGCCTCTTTTTCGCCTGGTTGCTTGTGCTTCACGTGTTTTTTAAACGAGAAGGATTTCCTGATATGGTGCTGATGAAATATTTTCGTTTCGACTTGTAGCTATAATCGGGAATGGCGGTATCATAAAGAAGAAAAGGCCTGGATAACAAGAGTCCCAGGTTCGGTGCCGCATGAGAAGACTGCGACGTACGAGCGCAGTACTTACTTCTTCTTCGACGTGTCAACGTGGAGAAAAGTTGGTAGAGAATTCGTGCTGGAGTACGACAAGTTGCAAGATCGACCGCCGTTGCCGCTTCCGCACGCGCTGAACAACACCGCGGCGCCGGGCCAACATGCGGGTCCGCCGCAAATGCTCGCCCACCAACGCTTGCCGCACCCATCCCAGCAAGTCCCTCCGCAAGCGTCGCAAGCCCAAGCTCCAAACCTCCCAGCTTGACACAAAGCGAAGATTGTTGTGAGAATGCGCGTGATCGTTCGAAGAACCGGAAAAAACTGCGGCGTGACCGCCGATGGAGTTCTATCTACTGCCGGATTGTATCTTGGTTCATGTCAAGGCGCCGACTGTTGGTGATCTAATTGGGTGACATCCATTTTTTTTTTCTCTTGGATAGCTGTCGTACATCGTGTCGTGTTACTCGGACGGGACCCCATCCCGTCCATTTTCTTCATGATTGTGATTGCAATGCTGGGGAATGCAATCCGCTTTTTCTCTGAAGTCCGGCTGACTCCTTTTTTTTATTATTCCGCTGATTATGTTCCAATTCACGCTGGCTCTTGTTAGTTATCCTGTTCGCTGGTTTCGTTGTTTGATTGATACGATTGAGCTTTACTTCTCTGAAGAAAGTCTCAGTTTACATGCATCGTTCCTTCCCTTTATTTCACCCTGAAATGTATTCTTGAACTGTCTCTTTTCTAGTCACCTTTCTGCATTCAACGTAACAAGAACTGTAAGGAGATTTTTAGCATATAGGCCAGAAAAAAAATGCTGAGTGTCCTGCAGGATTCACGTGAACGAGTAAGGAGCTTTCTTGGACGTGGAGGCCCGGGATTGACCGAGAACACTTGTGATCCATTGAACGAAGAAAGATATTCTTGCGTACAGTCCTGGAGCTGCCGAAGTGCATCCGATGTTATTCAGCGTGATGGCGATCAAGCGCCCATCCATCGTCGTTAAAGGACCTCCGACATCGGCCTGGAAACGAAAGACAAAATTGTGATGCTCCTGTGGGATAACCTCGTTCATTTCTGCTGACCTGGCAGGCACATTCGTCAGCTTGGGAATCACACACGGCGCAAACTTGTGAATCGTTCAGAGAAGGATAGAATTGTTTGCAAGCCTCGCTGCCGACTATTGTTAAAGCCGTGGCTCTCAATCCGCTCTTCGGCTTTGTTCCTTCGGTAAGTGTTCCATAACCGCTTACCATCACTTTCATTTTATCTGCAAAGGATATCCTCAAGTTTTTGATGCTGAGCTCGGGAGTTTCTGGGATCATCAGTTGGGGCATCGAATTTAAGGTTCTTTGCATTGAATTTAACTTCGGAATTGGGCGTTTTCTGCTATAAGATGCTCTGAAATCCATTGAAAACGATTATCCGAATCATATTTCCGTGCATAGTGGGATTCTCTCAAGATGAGGTTTTACCTAGATAAAAAGAGTAAAAGGAGTAACGTCATGCATGCAGGTTGAAACCGAAAAGGCAGCTATCAGTGCGTGAACTATTTTCTATTCCATTCATGCGTAATTTCAGTTATAGAGTGATAATCTTGCACGAATTTTGTTGAGGTCTCAGTGCAACAGAGGGTCTCAAAATTTTCTTCAGAAAAATTGGAGAATTTTTAAAAATTCATTTTAAAGACGCTCTGTTGCACTTTGAGCGTTGCATTGAAGTTACATGTTGATGTGATGGCTAGATTCTACTTCCTATCATCTGTGTTTGATTTATGGACAAAAAATTGAAGTTCTTCAAGACGGAAAACTGTTCAGATATTCCTCTTAATCATCTGGTGATCAAAACTGCGAGCGGAAATCCAAAACATGCGTCTAACCGACCTGTAATTTCAGAAGGCTTTGTCACAAGCTTAGCTGGGGACACGTTTGGCCCGAATTTGATAGCCTTTTGCGTTCGTATCAAGGCAAAATCGTAGATTTCTGGATGCGACGTGAAATTTTTGTGAAGATATACACTTTTGATTTTGAGAAGCTGCCTGGTCGGTCCGAAAACGTCTCCAACTGCCGCCTAGATGAAAAGGAAAGGTTGAAGTTTGTTGCCGTCCGCGTGGGTCATAAGGATGTATAAATTTGAAGGAAGACCTCAAGAAGCCATGGATCATGATTGCTGACGCATTGTCCTGCTGTGATGATCCAGTTTTCACCCAAGATGACTCCTCCGCAAATGTAGAAATCCGTATGTTTGAGCATGGCGTGAAAGGGGAATCGTGTCAGATTTACGCTTGTATCCACGTTTCCTGTGTTGACTTGGGATTCTATTTCCGCTAGGTCCTCTGGCCAGACGAAAGCGCCGTCAAGAGACAAGAAGGAAGTTTCATTATTCACGGTTTTGGATGCGTCAGACTTTTTCGAGTCCACTTGATCGATGTTGGCATCGAAATCCAACATGTGGCCTTGTTGGAGTATCCCGTTGAGTGATTGGAGGATTCCTTTCATTCTTTGTCCTACCTCCTTGGTGTCTTCTGCTGTCAGTGATTCGGTCGGCACATTTATGTCCATAGGAAACATTTGGGCCAGATTGTTAATCCCATCATTGCCTAATGCTGACCTGATGCTGTGTACGTTGAAGTTTTCGTTGGTTTTGGCCGTTTCAATTTTTGTTGGCGCTGAGTTTTCGCCCATATTGTGGAGCATGAATTCTTTCAGCTCCTTTAGCCAACCGTGATCGTTCGTCTGAGCTTCCTCCACTTTTTTGTTCTCGGGTGGTGCCTGATGGCTATGACTGATAGATCGTCTGCGAAATGATTGCTTCTTTTTCGAGCCTTCCTCCATTTCTATGTCGGGCACCCCTGAGATTGGACAAAGCAAAAACGGATGAAATCCAATGGATAGTAATACGAAAACATGGATTTTCTTACCATTCCAAGCGAAAGAAGCTGTTGTGATGAAGAGGGGTGCTAGGATAATAATAACCCCCAACTTCATTCCGTAAGGCCACTGGTGCAGCGAAAGTTTGGCCCTGTTGGAATATTAAACATTTGTTCGCTGTTATCGGACGTTCGTGTTTTGGGAATACGAATAGCTTAGGTCGTGAAGTATTTTCTTATTATATTTCATTTTGTCTGCAGCTTCAAATTTAGTTGGAACAATCAAGAATGCAAGGGTTTGTCAACAAATTTGTCTGATAACGTAGATTTCGCACTTCTCAATTCTAACCGTCGCGTTTGTAGATTCGAACCGCAAATGAATGCTGTGGCGATGTCGTCGACTTCCACCTCACATCTAAACAAAAGAACTTCTCGAAGGACTTCGTCTTTCTGCTGAACAAATGAATCTGACACGTGCAGATGAGAGGTTGAAACCCGGGTTTTCATTTGCATCTTCGCGTGTGGAAACAAGTGTTTGTACAAATGAATCGCTGTGGGTGGTAATGTTGAATTTTTTTCTAGCGCATCCGCCAAGGCAAAGAATGTCGACCAATGTTGGCTGCCATCCATTCGAGGAAGTGGGAGACTTGTGTGTAAGTCCCGGGCTTGTGTTTGGACAAGCATCCGAGTCCACTCGACGTGATGCCGATCAGCTCCCCGTCCACGTTGGTTAAAGGACCACCGATGTCTCCCTTTAGGGAACGACACATTAAAAGTACAGTATTATATTTTATTGGTACTGTACAGTACTATATATCGGCTTCTCAATACTGTACATTTTTGGTAATTTCGTACCTGACAGCCGCAGCGTTCGCCGTCGATCCGGTGACAAATAGCGCAAAGTTGGGAGTCCAGCAGTTTTGGGAAGTATTTTCGGCACTGTGCGTCATCAACATAGTTCAATTTCGAAGCCTTCAGAATACTTTGAGGCATAATGCCTTCGCTGAGAGTCCCATAGCCGCTTACAATGAGAATGTCATCATCTGTGGATCAAATAACGGATTTAAACGTAAATTCCCGGTTTCATTTACCTCTGGCTGCAATTATTCGAAGTCACTGTCGATTTTTCTTTTCTTCTTCAGTACTGTATTCAACACGTCGGGGAAAATTTTAAATTGATGTGGTTTCAGAAAAACGAATAAATTGAAATTTCTTGTCGCCTCGATACTTATAAAGATATGTTTTCATGTACGGCAGTTCTTTTGGAGAGACTGAGAAACTCTGCCTTACCCAAAATTTTCACTCGCGGAAAAAATTTATTTTGAAATTCATTACCTACTTTTTAAGTCTTGAGGTTAATTTTCAATGGGATTTCAACCCGAGATATTTTTGTCGATTGTGAGTTCTTGACTTCTGACGTTGGATTTTGAAGGTGGTTGATAAAAAGAGAACGAAAGTAGGGAAACACTTCCGTAGAGTACCGTAATATGTCCATCAACTTTCAGTTTTGGTTTGCGTTTTGTTCTGATTTTTTTGAAGGTTTCATTTATCGTTCAAGAAAATAAAATCCCATTGTAAACGACGCCGCGTATTTTCAAGTGGATAGGTGCCGTAGTAACCGACCTTTTGGGTTCGAATATGGAATCCGTGGTAGCGAAATTGGATTAACTTTTTCGCCGAAAGTTATACTTCTGTCCGTTTCCAGTAAGGCAATGTCGTAATGCGTTGACCGCCTGTTCATCGACAAAATGAGTAACATATTAAGCTCTGCTAATTTTGTAACGTTCCCCCTTGTTCTCACGAGGAATGATTCTTATGCAGGACGACGCCCATGACTCGGTAATATTGGTCGGCTCTGGGTCCAGCGGTTGTACCGAATATTTCCCCCACCACGACCTAAACATTGAGAAATCATGCTTGAATGCTTTGTTCATTCGAAGGCGTTCCAACGTTTTACCTCAAGGTTCCAAGGATCGTTCATATTTACGCACTGCCCTGCGGTCAGAATCCAGGTAGCACTGATGATGACTCCTCCGCAAATATAAAGATCTTCTTTTTTCAGAAGGGCGTGGAAAGGAAATTGCTTTATTTCAACTTCCACTGCTCCGCGAACTCGTTTTCCAGAGAGCGAGGAAGAGGATAAGGGCGGGACATTTGTTGAATTTCCGGTGCTTTGCTGTGATGAAACGTTGTTCGTGTGATGACCCGGTGGGACCGCTGCGAATAATCGTTTGCTTTCCGGTGGGTTTTCTTCCGCCTTCCGAAAGATAAAGGGTCATTCGCATTTTTTTTTTAAATCGTAGAATGGAGAATTTTACGTGAGTATAAGCCTCGCGACTGGATTTATCTGACTGCGTTTCGTCGAAAGTTGCGTATGACCCCTTGGCTTGATCAAGGATATGATTTGGGGTTAGAAGCTGCTTCACGTGGCTCCATTGAGGCTGTTTGAAGCCTTCGAAGGAAAAAAGCGGAAACAAGTTTGGAACGGAATTCCTTGTTGCTGAAATGATTATAATCGATGAAATAACTTTCCTTTGTGAAGTATAGTCTCTTATACAAACTAGCAACGCGTGCTTTCCGTATTCAGGAGCATCGCTGCGTTGTTCTGTGCAGAGAATCTACATTGTCAATTGTCGTATTTTAAATTTTACCTGATGGGTTTTCGGGTGACATCTCTGTGACGTTTGAATTAGAAGGCTGATTTTGTGGCCCTTGAACCACGTTGCGTAAGATCTCTTCCATTAAAGCATTTTGGCTCGGGATTGCCAGGTCAATCGACGAATTCACGTTTATTGCTGGATGAGGATTGTTATTGTTCATCAGATGCGAATCTTGCCAACTGGATTCAATCGAATTTGAGAGTGATTTTCAATCATCGGTTGCACTTCATTCAAGTACAGTATACCAACTTGGCAGGAAGAGCGTTATAAGATGGAGCAACACTTGCTGCGCCTTTTTGAAGCATTCGCAACTCATCTGGCCGGTTCGTGACGATACTTTTGATTTGTCTAGGCTCTGGGTTCGCTCGCTTGCTTGGCTTCACATCATGCCACGCAAATTGAGAATTGCTGAAACTTCTCGCATAACCTGGGACGTGATGAACCCCGATGAGTTCAGCTTTTGGGATGGATGCCAACACGGAACCAAACGGTTGTTCTGCCATGTAATGCACTTGTCGTGGCACGAGCTTTTCGTTGCTTTTGCGGAAGACCGAAGAAGCTTTGACTTAACTCAACTCACAGGATGTTCGTACATAGATTCACGACTCACTTCTGCAAATTTGCTACTTGCTGAGCGTAAGGCGAGGCTTGCCTGACTTGATTGTATTGATATTCATTGTTGCGATATGCGTCAGGCCAATTATTCTGTGTTTGCGGCTGCTGCTGTTGTGAATAGCGAGACGACGGAGAATCGAAAGTGTTCGCCATCTTCTGCATGACATCCACGAGCAAGGAAGTATCTGGAAGCAAAATGACGGGAGCCTCTCTGCGTCCTAAATGGGTTATCAACAGGACGAATGAACCGTCAAATCTCAGTTGCGACTGTGCTAATACCTGTTCTTCCTCAGAATTATCACGCATTCATTGAATAAGCGCTCTAAAAAATAAATGTTCACCTCCTTTATTAAACAGTGAGTACTATACGCTTTTACCCGAAAATAACCCACGATGAATACAAGTAAAATAATTGTATATTATGTGCCATAGTAATAAAAAATAATAGTGTCGAGCATGAGGATCCGTTGTGTAAATTAGAGGCGTAAAAAATGTAAGATTTCGGCCTTGACCCAGCTTCTCCTCATTCATCTATGTTGTGCTTTTGAGACTGCAAAATGTTGGCGAAATCCCAAATACATATTTCTAATGTTTAAATGATTGCAGAGTATATCCATAAAATGCATCCGAAAAATTAGCGGTAACGTATATTTTCCAATAAGTTATGCTTCTTGAGCTTTGTAATATGTAGAATGTGAAAAAAATGAGTAGCGGAAATCTCGTGCAGTACTTCGATAAAATCAGCTGCACAGAACTTATGTACTGTAATCGCATCAAAAATATTGACCTAAAATGCTGCATAATATAAATGTAAATTTTCGTTTTTTTTAACTCGCCTGCAAGGGCTGCCGAAAATGCGACGAGGAAGAGAACAATAGCATGTCGAAGGCTTCCCTTGTGTTTGTCTTCAGCCAGCATCACTGCGATACGTACTGTCGACGCCTGAAATCTGCGCGCAGTGTGGACGGGGGAAAAGTGCACTGTTTTCGTTAATTATTTGCACTTCTTCAGTAAGCGTCAGCCGCTTTTATCTTAATTTTCTCTTCTTTTATTTTGCGCTAGGGAAGTTATGTCGAGCTGTGACGCGCCACACTTTCAACTGAAGCGGACGCCTTTGGGGCTTTCCGTTTCATCGTATAATTCTGTGCTTTCCTTTTCGCGAGTTTACTCAAATTGATCGAAATTCCAATGCGCGTTTATTAAAATATGTTGCGAGTGGGAACAACGGCAGGAAAAATCTTCGTGGTGGGTCTACTTTGGCGCCAGAGCGTTTATTCCAATCTCGGTATATTGTCGCTCGGTCGGCATCTGGCTTCCCGCCATGGAAAACCTTTCCCTCGTTTGCATATTTGCCATAAATACAGCGTCGAATAAAAATATTGGAATTCATAAGAAAATCTTCAATTTACTGTACTTCGATGATGGTGTTCTGGAATATGAGTCGACAAAAATTTAGGTTCATATGCGAGAAAAATGAGCAATTCATGCTCGATATTCACTATCAAATGTCCGACAAAATTTGATTTTAGAGCGAAATATACAGTTTGAATTCATCTGTTCCAAGCCTTAATATATGAACTGAGTGTTTTAAAATATTTGATGCTGGTGAAAAAATGCATTTCGCCTCATATTCAGAGCAAACACAAATTTATCTTAGGAATTGTTTTTCAGTATACAGCAGTACTGTGCAGGTTTTTATTGCGTCGGTTAGTTCTTATTGTTTTCGAAGTACAACAACTTTATTACTATAACTGGTCGAAATGCAAATTAACGATCGATCATGAATATTTTTTTCGGCGGTTGTTCGATATATGCTGCTGATACATTATTTGTGGAACTTTTTCTCAGATTTGCCCGGTTCGTGACAATACTGTACTTATGATTTGTCTAGGCTCTGGGTTCGCTCGCTTGCTCAATTTCAGGATAAAATGAACTAAAATTAAAAATAAAGAAAAATGCTCTTCCCGTGCAATTATTCAATTGATGAATAGCCAAATTTTGTATCTATGCAGAAATAGAATTTCAAAAAATACTGTTCACAGCTGCTGCACCATGTATATCCAAGCTGGCTTAAATTTAAGCGAAAATACTATAAGATGAAAAGACACTCTCTTGCATCTCTTCACTCATATAAAGTCAATAAAAACAGGTTCACTTATTTTATTTGATCTTTGCACATCATATAATACGAAGATGTTCATCCAAGATCACTGCACATGCTGTTCCAATTCTTATATGCAAGATTTGCTGTGGTTGCATAGGGTTTTTCGATAGATAGTTTCCTAGTTACAATTTTATAGCAAAATGAATTTCAATAGCAGGCAGGATTGTAGCTTTTTGACACTTCTGTATATGACCAATTTCAAATGGCGGGCTGTGATTGAGCCAAATTATGTCACACTTGAAAACTACCCTGCGCTACAGCTCGATTTGATAAAAGTCATCAATTGACAAAAATGACGTCAGTTTGACAAATTTTCCGTTGCTTATGTTACTCATCCAGGCTGTCGTATAGATACTGCTGTATCTAAGTTTCTAGTCAACGCTTCTTGCACCGCTCTTTTCGTGATTCGTTTGAACTGCTGGTGACACATATGCGATGGTCATAATCTCTTAAAATGTTCAAGCAAGTTCGATAGGACAGACAGTACGTGTCTGTCCGCAGATGACTTTCTAACTCTTATATAGTGAAACTGCTACAGAAATCCGCAAGTTAAGTCCAGATTATTTTTTATATTGATTTCAAAAATATTTGCTCGTGAATTATGAATAGTCCGCTCGAGTGTTCTCGATTCTCTGCATTTAAATTTTCATTTTTGACTTCTTTTAATGCATTTTTTCTGCTAAAAAGATTATACTGTGTATGCGGTTGTGGCTAGTTCAATGGATCTGACGCCAAACCAACCCTATACAGTATTCAGAACTGATTTTAGTTGCTGAACAAAGGAAACAAAATTCTTGTTTCACCAAAGGAACATCCCAGAAAGAACAGCACATTGAAGAGCATCTCATCCATTGAGTAAGAGAAAATCTAAACCCCAGCTAAATCGTATTATTGCCATTTTTCGTGAGACTTGATATTTACAGAGCTGATATAAAATAAGTACAGCGAGTACCTTGAAGGCAACGATCAAAGATCCACACGATCATGAAAACTGTGATACTTCCCGTAATAAACTGACGAATTCATGCTAAAATAAGCACGTTCCAAATTTTGGAAGTCTGTACATTTTTGATCAAGAAGAATGTGAGATTGACTTGTGCAAGCAGGGCACAAAGCAGCACATACGAGTACTGAACAGTAGTATCGTATTTACTTGAGTACCATGCGCACCTTTTTCCCCAAATTTCAGAAGAAAAAAGGGATGTGCATCATATGCCGGTACAAAATTTTCAAGAAGTTTTAGGAAGTTACGTGTGCACTATACTTAATTATAATGGAGAAATTCAGAACAAATATAACAAAAGAAAACATTTTTGTACTAAAAAAGTTGAAAATTGATCAGATTTTTGTTCAATTCACGCCTGAAGTCAAATTTTTGTTTTTAATTTGAAATTTTATGGTTTTAGATTCACTGAAAATCGGGGTGCACGTCTTACGTGGGGATAAGATTTTTACAAAATTTTCAACTGAAAAACCACTGTGTGCGCCTTACTTGAGGGCGCAAATATCGAAGATCAGAAAATTAAAAATTTTCCTTGCATCAATAATTTGTGGAAATCGCTTTGAAACCCTTCGCCGCGTTTTAAAATCACAGTACGAGTTGTATTTTATTTTCGAAATATTTTTTTTCGAAGGAACTCGTTCTTTACCAAACTTGTAATTTTAAAAGTAATAAGTTTCACCCGTCAATATATGGGTTCAGGGAAAATAAGTTTCCATTCAAACCAAGTCAACCCAATATCGTACCTTATTATTATTGACATTTGATTTCCTTACACCAGAATAAATCGACGCCGGTGCTGCTGGCCAGCCATGTTCCACGAAGAGAACGAGCAGCAGCAGCGATATGACAGACGAAAGGAAAGCATAAATTTAGCCACTATTCGAGTCAATCCCGTGCAGCAGCCCGTGCAAAATCAGGTTCCGACTGACAGTCCATCCGGACCCTCAATAAGATGCCCAGAAAAAGGCATGAACGATGAAACCGAATCCATCACATTCAACTCCTTATTCACGGCGATCAAGACTCGCAACTCCGAACGCATAGTTCAAACGCTTCTCTTGCTCAGTCGGAATTGCAAGGGTTATGCGTTGGTTTCTCCGACCATCAACAAGCAAGGCAACAAAAATTCTGAAACCGCAAATAATCGATATTCTATTCACGACGAAGAAGCGACAAATTATTCAAGAGCCTTGTTCCTCGCCGTGAAAGAAAACGACGTTTCTTGCGTCCTGCCGATTCTGGAGCAGGTGGGATTCGGAAATTCCTCTCAAATAAAATCAAAATTCGCTGCTTATATATTATGCGTGTGTGCATGCGGACGCGTGAAAAAAATATGCGAGAATGGTCCACAATTCGAAAAATAACTGAGACTGTGAAGGTTTTCCCAGTTCCGAGAAGGAAGACAATATTTGTATTTTTTGCTACAAAGGTGAAAAATTCCATAATTTTTCTTGCGATGTTCAAGAAATCTGTATTTTTCTTCAGGTGTCAACACATTTTTGCAGTCCACTGCATAGTGTAAAGAAACGCCTTCTTTTTCGCTGTTATGAACTTAGTTTTCCACTCATTTCACAACAGTTGGCTAAGAATATGTCGAGAGTCTACACAATGAAATACTGTATGTTACTGTTTCCACAAAAAATTAGCCCTTGAGAATTTAAACGAAAAAATTATGAGAATTGAAAGCATGCCATTATCGCAACCGCCAAAAATGCTTCTTATGTTTCTTTGAGAAATAATAAAAAAAATCAGAAAATTTCACCAAATGTGATAAGTTATGGTTTTATGAACAAAATGCAAAAGCCATTCAATTTGTCTTGTCTCTTGAGTTCTTGACACATATTCCGCACCTGTTGAATGAGGGAAAAACTCGGATAGGAACAGAGATATAAATCTGACAAAATTACATAATTTTATTTAAATTTACCAACATTACAAGTATATTTAATCTCGCGCAGAACTGGGACATCCCTTGCATATGGCACTTGCAGCTGTCACTAGTATAGGGATGGCAGGAACACACTGTATTATTCATGAGTCTTTCCTCAATGTGAAGACATTTTTACCCAATCAGCCTTCAAAAAAATTAAACAGGGAGCTTTAAACACGTCTTGAATTCCAGCGTAAATATTACGAATG